AAGCAAAGAAAAAGAATACCAAACCCCCTAATGTTGACGACCCCCGCAAACGTATAAAGGACCACGATCTACGAATCTGCAATGTGCGCACGTTGTACAGAACAGGGGCAGTGTTCGCTTTGGCGGATGTACTCAAGAAGTACAAAGCCGATATTATTGCCTTAAAGGAAATGCGATGGAAAGGGACTGGCGTAAGTCGGAAATCAGATGATTACGTCCTGTATTATAGCTGCCATGAAACGAGACATGCATTTGGCTGCGGATTTATGGTTAATTGGAGAATAAAAGACCTCGTTTCCAGATTCACTCCAGTAGATGAGCGAATTGCTATAATCCGTATAAAAGCGAAGTTCCTCTACATCAGTCTCATTTGCGCCCATGCTCCGACCGAAGATAAAGATGAACAGACCAAAGCCATATTTTACGAGCGCCTAGAAACAGCATATGACCTTTGCCCTGGCCATGACATTAAAATTCTACTAGGAGATTTTAATGCAAATATCGGAAGGGAAAATAACTTTGGCCCCACAGTCGGAAAATTCAGCCTCCACGAACAAACATCAGACAACGGCATGAGGTTGATTGACTTCGCGGCAGCAAAAACACCAGATTCAAGCATCTCGATATACACAAGGCCACCTGGATTTCTCCCGATCGAACAACGAGAAATCAAATCGATCATGTTGTGATAGACGGAAGGCATTCATCCAGTGTTTTAGACGTCCCATCGATCCGAGAAGTGAATTTCGATTTGGACCATTACCTTGTGTCAGCCAAGGTACATGGTACAGGTAATGTAACACGGAAATTTGACGTCGAAAAGGTGCAAACACAACAGATAGCAGAAGCCAACTCCGCTCAACTTACCCAACTGCTTGACGAAAGCACTTCTTGTCCCGATAATAATATAGAAGCACAATGGCAGAGAATTGCTCCTTTCCCTACAAACTGCAGCAAAAACAACACTTGGGTACAAAAGACCACCATCAAGAAACCCGTGGTACGATCAGGAGTGTCGTAATGCTACTGATATGAAAAACGCAGCGTATAGGGCAACCCTGCGGACAGTAGCAACACGTAATGCGATGGAGAATTATCGAGAGAAAAGGAGAGAGGAGAAACGTACAAATGTACAGGAGTCAGAATGAAGTCCGAAAATTCTACCAACGGGTAAAACACCAAACCGAAGGCTTTGGTGCAGGCACATCCTCCTGTAGAGATGAAGAAGGAAACCTAGTGACAGTTACAGACAGCGTGCTGAGGATCTTGAAGGAGCATATTAAAACACTTCTCAGCGTGCTGAGGATCTGGAAGGAGGATATTAAAACACTTCTGGTATCAAATAGTAGCGGTGAAGAGGATACCCCAGAACCAATAATATATGACGGTATAGAGTGTATACCACCTAGCCAAGATGAAGTCAGAATAGCAATCAATCGGCTGAAGAATAATAAAGCAGCAGGTGACGATGGGTTACAAGCCGAACTATTCAAGACTGGTGGTCAGGAGCATGCACCAGCTGATTAGTACAATTTGGCTAGAAGAATGCGTGATTGAAACCTCAGCATCCCGTGCACAAAAAATGAGACAAGACGATATGTGCCAACTATAGAGGAATTAGTCTTCTTTCCATCGCATATAAAGTGCTATCCAGCGGGCTGCGTGAACGACTGAAGCCAATGGTCAATGACATTATTGGACCATACCAATGCGGCTTCAGACCTTCAGGCAAATCCACCATTGACCAGATTTTCACTCTGCGCTAAATCCTGGAAAAAACCCACGAAAAACACATCGACACATTCCACCTATTTGTCGACTATAAAGCCGCATTCGACAGCCCTATCCGTTCAGAGGTGTATAAAGCCATGTCTGCGTTTGACATTCTTGCAAAATTCATTCGGCTATGCAGGATAACTTTAACTGGCACAAGATCAGCAGTGAAAGTCGGAAAGGACCTCTCGGAGTCCTTTAATACTGAACGAGGATTCAGACAAGGTGACAGTCTGTCGTGTGACCTTTTTAACATCCTGCTGGAAAAGGTCATGCGAGATGCAAATGTGAACAGAAATGGCACTCTGTACACCAAACAGCATATGCGACTCGGCCACGTCGACTAAATCAACATAATGGCTCAACTCAAGTTGAGAAGGAGTCTGCCGACGTGGGCAGTGGTCCTCTCTCCATTTACTGCCAGTAAATAGAGAGGGCCAATCTTATGGTATCAACGTGCAAGACGTCCAGTAGACTCGAACCCACTGAGGAACATGAAAAATACAGCTTCGAGGTAGTGAACGATTTTATATTCATCGGTACCGCCATAAACAAAACTAATAACATCAGCTGTAATAGTGGAGAATAGTGTTGGCAAACTGATGCTACTATGGTCTGAGTAAGCGACTCAATTATTTTTTTAATCCACGCTTTGGATTGGCCTTGAAAAACGTCTTCTTTAAAAAATCCACGCCTTGGATAGGCCTTGAAAAACGTCTTCTTTAAAAAATCCACGCCTTGGATAGGCCTTGAAAAACGTCTTCTTTAAAAAATCCACGCCTTGGATAGGCCTTGAAAAATATTCTTTGAAAAATCCACGCCTTTGGAAAGGCCTTGAAAAAAGTCTTCATTAAAAAATCCACGCCTTGGAAAGGCCTTGAAAAAAGTCTTCTTTAAAAAATCCACGCCTTGGGTAGGCCTTGTAAAATTAATCTTTAAAAAATCCACGCCTTGGATAGGCCTTGTAAAATTAATCGTTAAAAAATACATGCATTGGATAGGCCTTGAAAAAAGTCTTTAAAAAATCCACGCCATGGATAGGCCTTGAAAATAGTCTTCTTTAAAAAATCCATGCCTATCAAAATTTATTTTTAAAAAGATAGGCCTTGAAGAATTAATGAGATGAGAAAATCCCCTTAATAGTGTTATTTAAAAAATCTCTGAGAATCTCCACAAAAATTTTAATTCATTTTAATTTTTTACCCAAATAACAACAACAAAAGTAATAATCGTTAAGTAGAACACAAAGTAGAACCCATTAAGTCCATGATTTATGGTCAGGTGGCTACAGTTTATGTTATTTCAAATTAAATATTTTTGTTGCCGCTTAATGTGTTTTTTTTTCATTTTTAATTATGAACTGTGTCTGACTCCAAAACCTAGAAAACAACACACAAACTTTCATTTATACACCGCAACCAACCTTTGCGGTATTTGTACTCCCTGGGGGTCAAATGTCATCCGACTAACTGTGTAAAACATTCCAGTGGTGTAGCTTAACATGTTCATTTTCCGGTTGCTGGAAATTTTCTCAGCGAAAATAAAAGTGTTTTGGTTGGTGCCTCAGAAAGAAATTGTGGTTCCCTTCAGTTACCTTGTTCTACAGGTAGGCCTCGAAGAATGCAATTTCATAAAAAAGTTTTACATTTATGATAGGAGATTTTTGAATATTTTTTGTAAGCATACTAGAGCCTTAGGTGTGTATTTTTAAATATTTTTTTGTTGAACCGTGTCTTCAGAGTCCTTACAGTATCTGCAACTTTTTAAAGAGTTTCAATTGGTCTTAACAAAACAATTAATTTTGTATATGTCTCGGAATATTTGTAAATGCTATTGTAAGTCAACAAGTGGTTGTTTGTTGTTGTTGTATTATTTTTTTCTTTCTTTGTTAACTTTGTTAATAAGTTTTCAATTAGGTGGTGTCCACTGGTGGTCTTACTATTTTCAGAAAGAAGTGTGAGTGCGTGTGTGTGTGTGTTGTTGTTGCTGCACATTCACCAATTATGGTCTTAAAAATTAAGTGGTTTAGTGGGAAAAGACTCGATGGCGTCTTTGTTTATGTTCCACTGCAGCCATAACTTAATAAAAATGATATTTTTTATATAAAATCCCACCATGTCTTTGTCATGGTTCCCATATCAGGTTGTTTGTGTGTGCGTGTGATTGCTCCGATTATGCAATTTCCTTACCAAAAAGAAAAACCAACAACTTTTGTGACATAAAATTTATAGATGTATTTTTTGTTGTTGTTGTGTGAATCAATGTCGGACAATGACCATATTTTTGTTATCATGGTTGTGTGTGGGCTCTTCATAATGACGTCATTGCATTATAAAAATCTTGAATATTCTCCAATATTTTGATAAACAAATTTTTAATAAAATCGGCTGATTTTTTTTATTATATTTTTTAAGGACTATTATAGACGTGCATTTTTAAAACAGTTTTTCTTGGACTATTACAGACGTGGCCTATCATAGGCGTGTATTTTTTAAATAATATTTTTTCAAGGCCTATCCAAGGCGTGGATTTTTTTAAGAAGACTTTTTTCAAGGCCTATCCAAGGCGTGGATGTTTTTAAGAAGACTTTTTTCAAGGCCTATACAAGGCGTGGATTTTTTAAAGAGGACTTTTTTCAAGGCCTATCCAAGGCGTGGATTTTTTAATGAAGACTTTTTTCAAAGCCTATCCAAGGCGTGGATTTTTTAAAGATTCATTTTTCAAGGCCTATCCAAGTCGTGGTTTTTTTAAAGATTCATTTATCAAGGCCTATCCAAGGCGTGGATTTTTTAGAGAAGACTTTTTTCAAGACCTATCCAAGGCGTGGATTTTTTAAAGAAGACTTTTTTCAAGGCCTATCCAAGTCGTGGATTTTTTAAAGAAGACTTTTTTCAAGGCCTATCCAAGGCATGGAGTTTTTAAAGAAGACTTTTTTCAAGGCCTATCCAAGGCATGGAGTTTTTAAAGAAGACTTTATTGAAGGTCTATCCAAGGCGTGGAGTTTTTAAAGAAGACTTTTTTCAAGGCCTATCCAAGGCGTGGAGTTTTTAAAGAAGACTTTTTTCAAGGCCTATAAAAGGTGTGGATTTTATAAAGTATATATTTAAGGGTCCCTTACAAGGCTTGTATATTTTAATATTTATGACTATTATATCCTTAGCTCTTGAAGATTTGTTCCAAAACTCTTTTAACATTTTCTCTGCTTCTTCTTCTTCTTCTCCTTCCAGATTATATTCCATAATAGCACCGAATACTCTAAGACCCAATTCACAGTATCATGTAGCCGTAAGTATACACAAATCCCCCGAACCGGTACGGGTTAAATTGGGCATTATTGGTAGTTCGTATAGTGATTTCAAAACCGCTGAGGTACGGCCATTCTCCACCGAGACGGTTCATTTTGATGTAAGTCCCCCAAAAGAAATCCGATTCCGATTTACCATAGTAAAATATTGAATTTCACAGATACCCGATTTAAAAAGTGATCGCTATAATCTAACCGCAGAAGGTCTTTCCGGCATCCGCTTCACCAATGAAACACAACTCCACTTCGATGCCCATCAATTTACGGTTATGGTGCAGACAGACAAAGCCATCTATAAACCCGAAGATACAGTCCATTATCGGGTAATTTTAATGGATTCGAATTTAAAACCGGCCAACTCATATGGTCGGGTTCATATTACCCTGCGTGATAGTGGAGATAATGTGATACGCAATTATCGTGATGTTAAGCTGACCAGTGGTGTATTTTCAAATGATTTGAGGCTATCGGATTATCCCAAGTTTGGTGAATGGTCTGTGGAGGTGGAAATAATGCAGGAGATATACAAACGTACCTTTGAGGTGGTGGAATATATTTTACCGAAATTTGTTGTCGATATAGATACTGATAAGCATGTCATCTATAAGGATGGCAAAATAAGGGCCACCGTCAGGGCATAGTAAGTCGGAAGTGAATTTTTTTCTTTCATATTTATTGTTCTAATTTTGTTATTCTTCTTATAGCTACGATTTTGGTAAACCAATTGTGGGTGAGGCCACCCTCTCCATATACCCCACCTTCTTTGGTTCACTGCAGCCATTTGTCAATGATTTGATTACCCGCAAGGTAGTACCGATCGATGGCAGTGCCTATTTTGAATTTGATATCCGTGATGAGCTGAAACTGAAGGAAGATTATGAGCGGGAGTATTTGTTAGATGCCCTGGTCGAAGAGGCCTCCACAAGTTCGGTACAGAATTTTTCTACCGTAATAACTGTCCACTTGGACCCCTATCGTGTTGAGGCCACCCGCTTACCCAGTAACTATATACCGGGAGTGCCATTTGAAGTATCGGTAAGTATTAAAGTCGTGGAATTAAAAATAATCAAGGCGTGGGTTAAAAAAAAAAAATCAAAAATATATGACCTTAAGTTCCATCCACACGAGTGTAGATGACCTCAAGGTCCATCTACACTACGGTAGATGACCTTTAAACCCCATCTATACTACAGTAGACGACTTTTGAGTCCACCTACACGAGTGTGGATAACCTCAAGGTCCATCTACACTACAGTAGATAACTTCAGTGCCCATCCACACTACAGTATATGACTTCAGTACCCATCTACACTATAGTACATGGTCTCAAGATCCATCTACACTATAGTAGATGGTGTCAAGATCCATCTACACTACAGTAGATGACTTCTGAGGCCATCTTCACTATAATTGATAACCTCTAAGCCCCATCTACACTACACTCGACGACTTCTGAGTCCATCTACACCATAGTAAATAACCTCAAGGACCATCTACACTATAGTAGATGACTTCAGAACTCATCTACTATCGTAGACGACCTCTAGATCTATCTACACTATAGTAGATGACCCTAAACCCCATCTACCCTACAGTAGATGACTTCAGAACCTATCTGCACTATAGTAGATCCATCTACACTACAGTAGATTACTTCTGAGGCCATCATCACTATAGTTGATGACCTCTAATCCCCATCTACCCTACACACGACGACTTCTGAGTCCATCTACACCATAGTAAATAACCTCAAAGACCATCTACACTACAGTAGATGACTTCAGAACGCATCTACTATCATAGACGACCTCTAGATCCATCTACACTATAGTAGATGACCTCTAAACCCCATCTACCCTACAGAAGATGACTTCAGAACCCATCTACACTATAGTATATGGTCGCAAGATCCATCTACAATACAGTAGAGGACATCAGAATCCATCTATACTACAGCAGATGACTTCAGAACCCATCTACACTATAGTAGATGGTTTCAAGATTCATATGCAATACAGTAGATGACCTCCGAGTCCATCTACACTATCGTAGATGACTTCGGTGCCCATATACACTATATTGGATGACCTCTGAACTCCATATTCAATATATTTGATAACCTCGGAGTACATGACCTCTAAACCCCAAAAATTGTATCCTATGTTCTCATCCCTTCTTATTCCAGGCCAAAGTATTACGCAATGATGGTGCTATGTTGAAGGACTTTAAGACTGATCTAACCGCATATCTAACAAATGTCTACGGCAGCAGTGAAATGTATAATAAGACCACCTATACCTTGGATGGCAGGGGTGAGCTGAAAATGAAATTTACCGTGCCATTGGGCGATAAAGATGTATATCATTCGGTTATAGTAAGTTCGAATCAAACACCTTCTTCGTGCAACCAAATTACCACATGTTTCCAATTATAGGTGGACTATCAAGGCATCATAACGGATATTGGTAAAATACCGCGCAAACATTTACACAGTAAAAATTATATTACCGCCAAGGTTCTGAATGAAAAGTAAGTTAAATGATTTTTGCGGAATGATTTCGGAATTATTAAAAATATTAAATTCTGTTCCATTACAGGCCCATGATAAATCAAGAGGTATCTATAACGGTGCGCTGCAGTGAACCCATGAAATATTTCATATATCAGATAGTGGGTCGCGGTGATATTCTATTGTCGCGGGCTGTGGATGTGAGTTTTGCGGGAAACATGAGGGAATTTTTATTTTACTCTCCCTCTCTTCCGTGCTCTCTTTTCAGGTCAATGACAATAACTTCCACACCTTTAAATTCCTGGCCACCTTTGCCATGATGCCGCGGGCCAAGCTGCTGGTATATCTGGTAATAAATGGTGAATTTGTCTATGATGAACAGGTCATCGAATTCGAGGAGAATCTTTTGAATAATGTACAAATTGAGGCACCGCTGAGGGTGCCACCTGGCCAGGATATTGACATCACAATAACATCGAAACCCTACAATTATATTGGTCTAATGGTGGTAGATCAAAATGCCATCAATATTCGGAAAGGTGAGTCAAGATTTATTTAGGAAAGCCTTTGATTTAGGAGAGCCCTTAACAGGACATTAGTATTTAGGAGAACCCTTCTCATAGCATCATAGGTCAAGATCCCTTAAGATTCATCTACACTTCAATAGATGACTTCAGAGCCCATGTATGGGCCTCAAGTCCCAATTAGACTTCAGTAAATTACTTCGGAGTCCATCTATGGACCTCAAGTTCCATCTACACTTCAGTAGATGACTTCGAAGCCTATCTATGGACCTCAAGTTCCATCGACACTTCAGTAGATGACCATCTATGGCTCTCAAGTTCCATCTACACTTCAGTAGATGGCTTCAAACCCTATCTATGGGACTCAAGTTCCATCTACACTTCCGTAGGTGGCTTTATAGAATCCACGCCTTGTTAGAGACCCTAAAAGTATTCTTCAAAAATCCCCGCTTTGGTAGACGTTCTATTAATAGAAGATTTTTCAAAGAGACTTATACAGACAGAAGAAACACGAGGGGGTCCTCTAGGAAGCCCTTCGAAAGGTTCAAGGTAGCCAGAAGACGTTCTAAGGGATATCCGAAAACTGAAGACCCTCGAAGGGACCTCATATGGGAAGAAGTTTCTTCAGGGGGTTTTCTATAGATAGAAGTGGTCTTTAAGGAAAACCTTCTAAGGGGTCTCCGATAGACAAACACCCTCGAAGTCTCCTTCTATGGGTTCTCCGATAGACATTAGACCCTCGAAGGGTCCTTCTATGAATAGAAAATCTTTCAAAGGAACTTCTGTAGACAGAAGAAACTCGAAGGGGTCCTTTAGGAAGCCCTTCATAGGGTTCAAGGGTAGCCAAAAGACCTTCTAAGCGATTTCTGATAGGCAGAATACCCTCGAAAGGACCTCCTATGGAGAAAAGATCCCTCAAGGGGCTTTCTACAGACAAAATAACCCCGAAGAATCTCCAAGGAGTCAGTCAGGAAACCCTTCCATAAGTTCAAGGGTAGATAGAAGACCTCCTATGGAGGGAATATCCTTCTGGAGGCCGTTTACAGACAGAAGAACCTCGATCTTCCTCGGATCTTCCAGGAACGCCTTGTTAGAGATCCTAAAAATATTCTTCTAAAAAGCCTCGCCTTTTTAGAGACCCTAAAAATATTCGTTTAAAAATTTACGCCTTATAAAGGACCCTGAAAATATTTAAAAAAATCTACCCCGTCTTTGATTTAAATATTCTATTTTCTCTCTCTTCTCTCTTTCGCACTCTCTTCCAGGTAACGATCTCTCTACGTCCAGTCTGATGCGAGCCCTCAATCAATATGACCTGAATGATATCAACACCCCCATCGGTTCGCCCGGCAAGGAATCTGGTGTCATCACAATGTCCAATACCGATTTTATTATAGAAAAGGAACCTGAGACCACACCGGCCCTGCAACGTGGTGGCAGTTATCATGAAGATGATCATAAATTAACGACCATACGAAAGACGGATATTGGTCCCGCTCACGCCATAGAGGTGAATACTTTGGCTCCTGGCAAAGGACGTTATGCCTTCTCCTATACCCCGAAACCATTTTGGCATAACCCGAGGATACATGTAATGCATCCTCCGGCAGATACATGGCTCTTCTTGAATGTTACCGCCAGCAGTGAGGGTCGTACGACAATACATCGACGTCTACCACCCTCTATGACTTCGTGGGTGGTTTCGGCATTTGCTTTGGATCCCGTACAGGGTATTGGTCTCACCAACCCTGTGAAGAAAATGCAAACCTATAAGGAATTTTATATTACCACAGAGTTGCCATATTCCGTGAGATTGGGTAAGTTGGGGAAATGGAGGAGACATTTTGCGATTTATTGTAAGAAAAATTATCTCCCAATTTTTTTAGGTGAAACTTTGGCCCTGCCATTTGTGGTCTTCAATAACAAAGATTCCGATTTGGATGTTGATGTTACGTTGTATAATACCAATCAGGAATTCGATTTTCCTCAGGTGGATAATAAATCACAACCCAAACCAAGTGAGTGTTCCAAAGCCCTCCATCCTCCTTAAAATTCCGCATTTTTTCATTCAAATCTTCAATTTTATCTTTCTGATTCTCCAGAAGTGGAATTGTATAGCCGTCGAACTGTGAGGGTCTTGGCCAAAACTTCCAAATCCGTATCCTTTATTGTCACCCCAAAGCGAGTGGGTCCCATTGTCGTCAAGGCTGTGGCCACAAATCAATTGGCCGGAGACACAGTGGAATCTACCCTCCTCGTCGAACATCCCGGCGCCATGGAAATTGTCAATAAAGGTTTTCTCTTCGAAATGGGTTCGAGTACCCAACGTATGGCCAATGTTAGCATAAAAATACCCCGTAATGCCATACCGAATTCGGCTAAAATTGAAATATCCGGTGTGGGAGATGTGGTCGGCAGTGTCCTGGGTAATTTGGAAAATTTAATACGCGTGCCCTCTGGCTGTGGCGAACAGACTATGATACAATTTATGCCCAACTTAATGGTGCTGAAATATTTGCAGGTCAGTAGAATAACATCTTCCCTCCAGAAAAAATATTAAACCCCGCTTTCTCCCCTTTAGCGCACCCGCCAATTGAACTCGCCACTGGAAATGCGTATTAAAAACAATTTGGAGCTGGGCTATCAACGGCTGCTGTATTATCGTCACAAAAATGGTGGCTTCAGTGCATTTGGCCTATCGGAAGAGAAAACCTCAACCTGGTTGACAGCCTATGTCGCCAAGGCTTTCCGTTTAGCTTCGGAATTTGTACAAATCGATGAACAGGTTATACGACGAGCATTGGAATATGTCGTATCACGTCAGACGGCAGATGGAGGCTTTTCGGAAGGTGGTGATGTATTCGAACAATTCGATGATGATGGCCTTAGTCTAAGTGCCTTTGTTACGCTTGCCTTAATGGAAAATGTGGTAAGTGTTTATGGGTGATATGGGAGACATTCTAAGGGGTCTCCGATAGGCAGAAGAACCTCAAAGGGACGTTCTATGGATAGAAGGTCTTTAAAAATAACTTATACAGACAGAAGAACTTCGAGGGGGTCGTCTAGGAAGCCCTTCAAAAGGTTCAAGGTAGCCAGAAGACCTTCTAAGGGATATCCGAAGGCAGAATACCCTCGAAGGGATCCCATATGGGAAGAAGTTGTTTCGGGGGTGTTTCTATAGACAGAATGCCTTTGAAGTGGTCTTTAGGAAGAACTTTTAAGGAGTCTTCGATAGACAAAAGGTCCTCGAAGGCTCCTTCTATGGGTTCTCCGATAGACAGAAGACCCTAAAAGGGGCCTTCTATGAATAAAAAACCTTGCCAAGGAACTGCTGTAGACAGAAGAACCTAGAAGAGGTCCTCCGATAGGGAGAAGACCCTCGAAGGAACGTCCTATGGATAGAAGACCTTTCAAAGGAACTTATAAAGACAGAATAACCTTTAGGGGGTCCTCAAGGAAGAAGCCTTTCAAAAGGTTCAAAGTATCCAGAAGACCTTTTAAAGGTAATCCGAAGGCAGATGACCCTTGAAGGGACCTCATATGGGTAAAGTTTCTTCAGGGTGTTTTCTATAGAAAGAATAATGTCGAAGTGGTCTTCAGGAATGCCTTTTAAGGGGTCTTTGATAGACAAAAGACACTCGAAGTCACCTTCTACGGGTTCTCCGATTGACAGAAGACCCTCAAAGTTGTCTTCTGTGAATAGAAAATCTTTCAAAGGAACTTCTATAGACGGAAGAACCTCGAAGGGGTACTTTAGGAAGCTTTTCAAGGGGTTCAAGCGTAGCCAGCAAACCTTCTAAGCGATCTCTGATAGGAGAAGAATAATTTTCCAGGGTCTTTAAGGCGAGGATTTTTTAAAGAATATTTTCTGGGGTCCTTTACAAGGCGAAGATTTTTTAAAGAATACTTTCAGGGTCCTTTACAAGGCGTGGATTTTTTAAAGAATATTTTTCAGGGTCCTTTACCAGACGTGGATTTGTAAAGAATGGGTTTTAAAAATATATTTTTTCTTTTCCAGAACACCTATCCGGAATACAACAATAATGTGAATAAGGCTTTGAATTATATTACCCGAGCTTTGGATGGTTCCAATAATCTACATGCCATGGCAATTGGTACTTACGTCCTGTCAAAGGCCAATCACAATGCCAAGGTTGCATTCGTGCAAAGGTTGGACTCAATGGCCGTCAATGAAGGTATTTCCGATGAAATCTCTTAAAACAGAATTTCTTCTAAAACAGATTTCCTTTTCAGATGGTCTTAAATGGTGGAACAAAACCGCTCCACCCACCGAGGCCATGTCACCCTGGTATAATCGTACACGCAGTGTTAATGTGGAAATTTCCTCCTATGCCATCCTCTCGCTATTGGAAAATGCTTTAATTGGTGATGCTCTGCCAGCCCTGAAATGGTTGATGAATCAACGTAACGATTTGGGTGGCTTTGTTAGCTCCCAAGATTCGGTAATAGGTTTACAGGCCCTGGTGGCATTTGCCGAGCGTTTTTCCAGCCAAGCGAATAATTTACAATTGGCATTCCGTTACGGGGCCAATGCAGAGACTGTGATAAATGTTAATGCCGAAAATTCAATGGTTCTACAAACAATTGAGGTGAGTTCAGACATTCATACGACTTTCGGATAATTTTCGTAATTGAATTTTTTGCATTTCAGTTACCAAATAATTTGAAAAATCTCACAGTATCGGCGACTGGAAATGGATTGGCATTGGCGCAGGTTACCTATCGCTATAACACCAATGTTACCAGTGCCTGGCCACGTTTTGTTTTGGATCCCACTGTGAATAGAAATTCGCATTCGGATTATTTACATTTGTCGGCATGTGCCAGGTAGGGTTTGGGATATAATATTAATGGCGTGATCATGAACTATTTTCCATATTTCTAGTTTTATACCCGCCGAAGGAGATGCCAATCGTTCCAATATGGCTGTCATGGAAATTTACTTGCCAAGTGGTTTTGTTGTGGACACGGATACCCTGCCCACATTGGAGTCGAGTGAAAGAATAAAGGTAAGGGGAGATTTTTTAAAGAATATTTTTAGGGTCTCTAACAAGGCGGGTATTTTTAAAAAAATATTCTTAAGGGTCAACAATTGCCGTGGATTTTTTAAAGAACTTTTTTAGGGTCTCTAAAAAGGCGTGGATTTTTTAAAGAATAATTTTAGAGCTCTATACAAGGCGTGGATTTGTTAAAGAACATTTTTAGGGCTCTACACAAGGCGTGGATTTGTTAAAGAATATTTTTAGGGCTCTACACAAGGCGTGGATTTGTTAAAGAATATTTTTAGGGCTCTACACAAGGCGTGGATTTTTTAAAGCATATTTTTAGGGCTCTACACAAGGCGTGGATATTTTAAAGAATGTTTTTAGGGATCTACACAAGGCGTGGATATTTTAAAGAATGTTTTTAGGGATCTACACAAGGCGTGGATATTTTAAAGAATGTTTTTAGGGATCTGCACAAGGCGTGGATATTTTAAAGAATGTTTTTAGAGATCTGCACAAGGCGTGGATATTTTAAAGAATGTTTTTAGGGATCTACACAAGGCGTGGATATTTTAAAAAATGTTTTAGGGATCTACACAAGGCGTGGATTTGTTAAAGAATATTTTTAGGAATCTACACAAGGCGTGGATTTGTTAAAGAATATTTTTAGGAATCGACACAAGGCGTGGATATTTTAAAGAATACACAAGGCGTGGATATTTTAAAGAATACACAAGGCGTGGATTTGTTAAAGAATATTTTTAGGGCTCTAAACAAGGCGTGGATTTGTTAAAGAATACACAAGGCGTGGATTTGTTAAAGAATATTTTTAGGGCTCTAAACAAGGCGTGGATTTGTTAAAGAATACACAAGGCGTGGATTTGATAAAGAGTATTTCTAGGGCTTTACACAAGGCGTGGATTTGATAAAGAATATTTCTAGCGCTCTAAACAAGGCGTGGATTTGTTAAAGAATACACAAAGCGTGGATTTGTTAAAGAATACACAAGGCGTGGATTTGTTAAAGAATATTTTTAGGGCTCTACAAAAGGCGTGGATTTGTTAAAGAATATTTTTAGGGCTCTACACAAGGCGTGGATTTGTTAAAGAATATTTTTAGGGCTCTACACAAGGCGTGGATTTGTAAAAGAATATTTTTAGGGCTCTACAAAAGGCGTGGATTTGTTAAAGAATATTTTTAGGGCTCTACACAAGGCGTGGATTTGTAAAAGAATATTTTTAGGGCTCTACACAAGGCGTGGATTTGTTAAAGAATATTTTTAGGGCTCTACACAAGGCGTGGATTTGTTAAAGAATATTTTTAGGGCTCTAAACAAGGCGTGGATTTGTTAAAAAATACACAAGGCGTGGATTTGTTAAAGAATACACAAGGCGTGGATTTGATAAAGAGTATTTCTAGGGCTTTACACAAGGCGTGGATTTGATAAAGAATATTTCTAGCGCTCTACACAAGGCGTGGATTTGTTAAAGAATACACAAAGCGTGGATTTGTTAAAGAATACACAAGGCGTGGATTTGTTAAAGGGCCCCCACAAGGCGTGGATTTGTTAAAGGGCCCCCACAAGGCGTGGATTTGTTAAAGATTATTTTTAGGGCTCTACACAAGGCGTGGATTTGTAAAAGAATATTTTTAGGGCTCTACACAAGGCGTGGATTTGTTAAAGAATATTTTTAGGGCTCTGCACAAGGCCTGGATTTGTTAAAGAATATTTTTAGGGCTCTACACAAGGCGTGAATTTGTTAAAGAATAAGACATGGATTTTTTAAAGAGTATTTTAGGAGTATACATAAGACGTGAATATTTTTAAGAGTATTTTTAGGGGTCTACATATGGCGTGGATATTTCAAAGAATATTTTTAGGGGTCTACATAAGGCGTGGATATTTCAAAGAATATTTTAGGGGTCTACATAAGGCGTGGATATTTTAAAGAATATTTTTATGGGTCTACATAAGGTGTGGATATTTTAAGGAATATTTTTAGGGATCTGCACAAGGCATGGATTTTTATACCCTACACAACTATGTTGTCAGGGTATTATAGCTTTGTGTAGCCCCAAAAGTTTGTAACGCCGCGAAATATTGGTCCTAGACCCACCTTTAAGTATACCGATCGTCATATCTCGACTAGCTGAGTCAATCTAGACATGTGTGTCCGTCCGTCTGTCCATTATAATTTGTAAACACGATACAGGCCAAAGTTATGGACCAATCTTCACGAAATTTTGCATGTAGGATAGGTTCTGGCCAATGAAGACCCCTATTGTTTTTGATAAAGATCGGTTAATATTTAGGGGATGAAATGGACCAAATACTAAATTTTTGTCGGTTTTTCTGGTCGCTCCAGAGGACGCAGTTATGGTCCGAACATCGTGTAATTTTACATGGAGAAAGGGATCGGGCCAAAGAATAAGCATGCATGTTGAGATTTCATTCAGTGGGTGCAGTGAACCGAAAACTTTAATTTTGTCAGATTTTCTAGTCGCTCTAGAGGCAATTATTATATACTGAACATCACATATTTTACAAGGTGAAGGGGATCTGACCATATACGTAGAGCGGCTGTTTAGATAATGATCGGTCAATTTTCCGAGGGTCAAATCTACCAAAACCTAAAGTGTCAATTTTCTATTTTATGGCGTAAAAATTCACTTCAAGAAAACTATTGTTGGGAAATATGCCAGTGTTAGACAGGGGAGTTGTTGATCTATAATCGGTAAAAAGGGTGCAAATATCACGAAATATTGCCCAGGCTCAGAATATAGAACCGCCGAAAGTGTGCTTTTCGTGGTAGTTGTGTAGGGTATCATATGGTCGGCCCCGTCCGACTATACTGCTCCGCTCACTGGTTTTAGTAATATGTTTAGGGGTCTACATAAGCCGTGCATATTTTAAATAATATTTTTAGGGGTCTACATAAAGAATATTTTTAGAGCTCTACACAAGGCGTGGATTCTTTAAAGAATATTTTTTTAGGGCTCTAAATAAAGCGTGGATTTTTTAAAGAACTTGTTTCAATATTTTTTTTTTATTTTACAGAAAGTCGAAACCCAAAAACGTAATACTGTCGTGATAATCTATTTCGATTATTTGGATCGCCGTGAAGTTTGCCCCACCCTGCATGCCTACAAAGTTGTCAAGGTGACCAATCACAAACCAGTACCTGTTATTATGTACGATTATTATGATAATGGTAAGTTGGAAAAAATTTTAAAAAAGATTTTCTTTTTTTAAATTAAAAAAATCATCATTTTTCTCTCCAATTTAGTACGTCGCGCCCGTCAGTTCTATCGCGCACCCAAGTCCCAAATGTGTGACATCTGTGAACATGCCAATTGTGGTTCGCTGTGTGAAAAGGCCGAGAAACGTGAATCCAGAGGCCAGGATGGCAATGATTTACTGGAGGCTGGTTTTAAGAATAAAGCCGGTGGTCCTGCTAGGGCCACAATATATGGAACAATATTAGCAATGCTTTTGGTTTCGATGATTATCGGAAAATTAATAAATTAAATTGTTAATATTATATTGAAAACCCCCATTGAAAAGAAAGCTTTAACATTTTTTTATAAAAAAACAATTAATACTCTTTTCTAAAAAAAAAATAATTGTAATAAAATAATAACTTATTATACAAGTATCTAACTATAGAATAAGTCTGTAAATTTATGTAAAAATAGCTAATAATTATTAATGAAAAATAATCTATATAAAATGTTAATATAATTTTAATAATACAAATTAATGTTAATTAGTATTACTAATTTTTAGTATTAAGTAATAAGAATAATAATAATTACAAATAATAATAATTGTATACAAAAAAATAAACGGCTAAAGCTAGAAGCTTGAAATTTTGAGTGTGGGTTGTTGTTGGTGTGTAGGCGTGAGATAAGGCTGGGTTTTTGGAGATTCGTACTAGAAGGGTACGAAAAGTACTAAAATGTACCAAATATGGTACCCTTTGTATTAGACGAACGGGAAGAGCTAGAATTCTGAAATTTGGAATGTGGGTCACTGATGGAAAGTTAGAAAGATGTACAAAAGGGTTTTTGAAAATTCGGCCTATAAGTGTAATAAAAGTACTAAATTTAGTTCTAATTGTATATATATTGAACACATATAGCTAAAATGTTGAAATTTTATATGGAATACAGGTTGGGAAGTGGTGTTGATGTATGGAAATGGTTTAAGATTTTCGTACTTATGTTTTTTAAAAAGTACTAAATGGTACTAAATTTGGTACTATTTGCATTTAGTTGAGTGTATATAGATGGAATCCTGAAAATCGGAATTAGGACTACTGTTGGAATACAGGATTGAGGTAGCTTTAAAAAATCGTACCTTTGTGTACGAAAAGTACTTAATGGTACTAAATTTGGTGCAAGTTGGATTTCGGTTCACATATAGAGCTGGAGTCTTGAAATTGGGAATTAAAATGACAGTTGCAGTGTAGAATTGAGGTAGTTTTGGAAATTCGCACTTATTGGTACGAAAAGTACTAAATCGTACTAAATATAGTACAATTTGGATTTTGCTTAAACGGATGAGCTTAAAACCTGAAATTTGGAATTCTGATTACTGTTGAAGATTGAGCTATAGAGACATCTGTGGAAATTCGTATTTGTGTGTACGAAAAGTACTAAACGGCACTAGATATGGTACAATTTGGATTTGGGTGAACGGAGAGAGCTGGAAACCTAAAATTTGGAATAATGGTTGCTTTTAGAATATATAATTAAGGTATGGAAGCATGTGTACTAAATGGTACTATATTTGGTACAACTTGATTAAGTGGATAGAGTTGGACTCCAGAATTTTGGAATTAAAATTACTTTTGAAGTGTAGGATTGACGTAGTTTAATTATAGAAACAAAAAGTACTAAATGGTACCAATGGATAGGGTTGAGATCCTGAAATTTTGATTAAATTAATATTACTGTTGGAGTGCAGGATTGAAATATGTCGGTAGTTTTGAAAATTTGTCATTTCGTGTACTAAATGGTACTAAATTTGGTACAGTTTAGATCAGAGTGAATGGATAGAGATGGAAAACTTAAATTTAGAATGCAAATCACAGAATTAAGGTAGTATTGGAATTTCGTACTCTTGGATACGAGAAGCACTAAATGGTACTAAATAGGGTACAATTCGTTTTGTGTGAGCGGGAACCCTAAAATTTGGAATCAAAATTAAGGGTGGAGTGTAGGATTGAGATATGGAGGTAGTTTTGAAAATGCATGATTATGTGTACTAAATGGTACTAAGTTTATTTAGATTGAGATAAAAAACTTATATTTGAAAATAAAATTACTGTTAGAGTACAGGATTGAGACAGTGTTGAAAATTCAAACTTAAAGTACGAAAAGTACTAAATGGTACTAAATATGCTACAATTTGGATTTATGTGAACGGATAGGGCTGGGATCCTGAAATTTATGATTAAAATTACTGTTGGAGTGTGGTGAACGGATAGAGCTGGAATCCTTAAATGTGGACTAAAGGTTATTATTGGAGAACATGACTGGGGTAGTTTTGGAAATTCGTACTTATGGGTACGAAAAGCACAAAATTTGGTACAAATTGGACATTGGTGAACGGGTAGAATTCGAATCCCGAAAGTTGCAACTTAGGTTACTGTGGGAGTGTAGATTTGATAAAGTTTGGAATATGGGTACGAAAAGTACAGAATGGTACCAAATCTGGTACAATTTGGTTTTTGATGAACAGACAGAGCTGGAATTCTTAAATTTTGACTTACGATTACTATTTGAAATAAGGATTGAGGTATATTTGGAAATTCGTACTTATGAGTACGAAAAGTACTAAATTTGGACTTTGGTGGAATTAAGATTACTGTTGGAGAGTAAGATTGATGTAGTTTTAGAAATTCTTACTTATAAGTATGATGGTACTATATTTGGAACCATTTGGATTTGGTTGGATCCTGCGATTTGGAATTTAGATTACTGTTGAAGTGTAGTATTTAGCTATAGAGATAACTATGGAAACTCGAATTGATTTGTACGAATAGTAAATAGAATAGCAAATGCACTAAATTTCGATTTCGGCAACGGAATCACATTATATGCATAGAATCACATTCTATGTCGATTTATGCATGTCCGTCTGTCTGTCCATGTTAAATTGTAAACAAAGTACAGGTCGCATTTATGATCCGAATTGGATGAAATTTGGCATACGTCATATAGTTCCCATATATATTTTAGTCCGATTTTAGGTAAATAGTGCACCAAACTCCCTATATATCCTTCGATTTACACGAAATTAGGCACAGCGGGCTGAATTACGTCTAGAACGATGTGTGTTAAACATCGTGAAAATCGGTTCCGATTTAGATATAGCTCCCATATATAACTTCGTCCGATTTAATGTAAATGGTGTACCAAAGTCCCTATATATCTTTCGACTTGCACGAAATTTTGCATGGGGTACTTTACTACTTTCCTTACTGGTTTTAATCTGTTTAATGGAAGTAAGAGAGATTTCGGAAAATAGTGCTTATGTGTATGAAGAGTACTAAATCGCAAACTATAGTACAACAAATTTACAGTATTTACGATACCATATGAAATCTATGAAACTTTGGTAACCCCTCCGCCGACTGCGATGTCTAAAAGTGGAAAATCCAAAGATACCCTGGATATGAAGGCGAAGGACAATTTGTTTCTGCCAACGGAACGTCGACCAAGACATAGATATGATCATTGATAGGGAATTCCTCAATATAGTGTACTACCTCATGTAAAGCGGTTTCCATTGATCTCCCCTTTACATACGCATGTTGTTTATATTTCAGCGTATCATTGGGTATACTGCTGTACGATGTCGATCGACACGATGTGGTGTCGATTGTACGATCCATGGTTTTGAGTGGGAATGTAATTAGGCTTATTGGCCGATATGATTTTGGTGTTGCGCAGTTTGCCTTGCCGGACTTGGATATGAAGACTACCCTGGCTTCCTGCCAGGCTTTCGGTGTGTACCTGGTGATAAAAATACCGTCTCTTTTTGTAGTAACGTTATCCGGCACTGCCGCCTTCAATGGTGTGAAGCTTTTTAAGGCGTCTAACACCATTGACTTGTCAATTATAGGTTCATCTGATCTTTCTTCTCTATATGTCATGACATCGTCCATTGTTGTTGTTGTAGCAGCCCTATTGCTTTTACACAACGGGCTGAGGTGACAGACGTTGGCCGAGTAAGACTCGGGTCGTTTCGGATCGTAGACCCCTCTGTCGTGGAAACGTCCATTGTGGATGTGTTCGATGGGAAGTGAGCATTCATTAGGAACCTTAGTGTTTCCTCTCGCCATCTACCATAGTTTCGGGTTGGGTGTGGGTCTTAGATAGAAACATCTTGATTTTTGAAATGTCGTTCACGTCTACCTGTTCGCAGAACAGCTTCCAGGAGTTGCGTTTGGCGGTTCTTGTCAATTTATTGTATTCTTTCCGTTTATCGTGAAAGTTGTCCCAGAATACTGTAGATATTTTTTCGGCGTGCTCTGATGTGAAGCTTTCGGACCTCTTTTCCTTTTTTCCGAATCTCCCCCATCATCCAGAGTTTTTCAAAGGCATATCTGCTTTCTCGAAGAGGACATTACATTTACATCCCTTAATTTGTGGACGTTTCTGTCTATGTAATTCGTGTCTAGGCACTCATAATTGGATTGCCCTAACCTCTCAAACTCTTAGAAAACGAAGTACAAAATTATAGACAGAACAATTAAAAAACGTCTTTATACCCTCAGCCCTATGGCTAAGGGTATAATGAGGGCACATGTTTGCTACGAGAAAAATCGAAATATTGGTATCTTTGAGCCAAAACCGTTTAGGGACCCCCTCGATGTTCTCTATTGTTTAGAACCCCTGGCATCATTTTCACGGTTGTGAAAATTATGGAGATAAATGTGAGTAGCTTCAAAGTTATCTTCCATCCTTGCAAAGGTTTGTGTCTTCTTTCATCGCCTACGATTTAGAGGAATCACTTGGATAGCCGTTGTGTTGTTTCTGAATTCTCTTTTTCCAGATTCAAAAAGGTTGCAATCAAAGATATTCCGGAAACAAATGTGTGGGTATAGCTGAGTTCAAGGCCACATGCAGGGCATGTGTCTGATATTGTGCTGTTATTTCGGACCAATACCAATTTAGGCGGCTGCACAGCTCTTGTTTGACTGGGTAGCTGTCGTTTATCTACTGAGGAGGGAGGACTTCAGGAACTGCAGGCACGTGGTATTGTTCCATAGAATGGCTCACTACTTCCGTGAAAATCTTATTCATTGATCTTGGGGTTCTCTGTTATACTCTCTGTCTAGATCGTGTAGGCCTCCATGAGGTGATGGCATGGATGATTTCAAGCAGCATGTCGCAATATAACCCTATCACAGTAATTATGTATCTGGTTTAACCCGGAACAACCCATTGCCATACAAGCTTTTCATATGAAAATATAAAATCAGTCCTACTATGAAAATGTTGGGAATATGGGAATTTGAATTTCCTCTCCAAAAAAATTTTATAAAAATTCACATCCAAATAAATAATTTTTGTTCTTAAATAAGTCATGATTTTTTTATTTATTTTCTATACAATATTATAAAACTAGAAATGGAAACAAATTGGGACGAGCACGAGAATAATTTAATTATGATTTTAACTTCCTAATCAATTTAATATAAATAAACGAACATTTATGAAAAGTATTGAATTGTTGCAATTACAGATGACAAATCTAAACCAATAAATACTATATAAAAAATCATATTCTATACAATTTTGAAATAATTTTTATATAAAAAATAAGTTTTGCATATTCCAATATTTTCCAAAACTACTACTATTCTTACTATTTACGTTTGGGTTTTTTACTTTCCATTAAACTCATGATGGTTTTACGCAACTCTTCTGTTTCGCTCAATTCCAATTCGTAGTTACGAATTTGTTCATTTTTCTCTTGCAGTTGTGATTCGAGTACCGTAATAACATCATCGGATTTCTTTTTAGCATCACGCTGTTCTTCCAGCACTTTTTGTGTTTTGGCCAGCTCCTTTTCTTTCTCTTCAATGTGACGGGTTTTTTCTTTCAAATCGACTTCATATGCGGCAATTGTCTTCTTAAATTTGTCAATGCGTAGTGACTGAAATGAAGAGAAGAAGAGAGGGGAAAATTATAAAGGGAATTTAATAAATAATATTTTTTCCAAGGACTCACACAAGATTTGGACCCTAATCAAGGCGTGGATTTTTTAAAGAATAGTTTTAAGGGTCCTTTACAAAGCTTGGATTTTTTAAAGAATATTTTAAAGAGTCCTTTACAAGGTTTGGATTTTTTAAAGAAGTTTTTTAAGGGTCTGGATTTTTTAAATATTTTTTCAGGACCCAATAAAGGCGATTGGAAAATTCCACCAAAAACTTTGAAATATCGAAAATATGACGGGAACATCAAATGGTGCCAAATTGATCTATATCGAAAATTGTGTGCAAAGATGTTTTAGACCCTAGTTTAGACCCTAATTAGTGACACTTCTGTTGAAAAAATGCAGCTAAAACCTTGAAAATATCGAAAATATGACGGGAACTTTATATGCAAACTATGTGAAAACCTGTACCTGTATCGAAAATATTTTGTGAATATGACTTTTTGCCCTCCAAGAACCCAGAATGCCAAATTACAGAAACTTCGGTTAAGAAAATGTGGCTAAACACTTAAATATATCGAATATGGATCGGGACCTTTATATGCGAACTATGTGAAAACGTGTACCTATATCGAAAATGTTTTGCAAATAGGATTATTCAACCTCCAAGAACCCAAAAAGCTAAATTAAAGCGACTTCGTTTGGAAAAATGTGGCTAAAATCTTAAAAAGTATCGAATATGGTCTGGACTTTTATATGGTGATCATGTCAAATACTAGACCTATATCGAAAATGTTTCACGGATGTGCTTTTTCACCCTTCAATAACTCAGAATGCCAATTAACAACCACTTCGGTTGGAGGAAATGCGGCTAAAACCTTGAAAATATAAAATATGGATCGGGATCTTTATATGGTGGCAATGTCAAAACCTGAACCTACATAGAAAATATTTCAGGAACATGATTACCCTTCACCACTATGGGAATGTTAAACAGGACTATTATAATGAAATTGGATGAAATAAAATATGTGATATTTATCTAAATGTGAATCTACCTAAATCTATCCATAAAGTATGTAAATCGAATTCAAACAAATATAAATAGGTCATCCGTCCGTCAGACATCACTCTAGGCTCAATTCAGTACGTTATGCCAAAATATCGAAAATAAATAGGGACTTTGGACGTTCACATGAAATTGGCTATATATCTATAAATCGAAAAACATCACTCTAGGCTTAATTCAATACGTTATGCCAAATTTTGCAAATCGAAAGATACTGTAGGGCACCATTTACATGAAATCGGACAAAACTATATATGGGAGCTATATCTAAATCTGGACCGATTTTCACGAAACTTGGCAGACATCATTCTAGACCTAAATGATTAGGCTGTACCAAAATATGCAAAAATGATATATGCGGACCGTTTACCGGTTAAATATATATATGGCGATATATCAAAACCTGGACCTAAATCCAAAAAAAAAATTTCATCCAATTCGGGGACCTGTACTTTGCTCACAAAAATACATGGACAGAAAGAACACGGAATGCCATATAACAACCACATCGCTAAGGAAAATATGGCTAAAACATTAAAAAATATCGAATATGGGCTGGGACCTGAAATCTTCAAAATATCGAAAACGTGGCGGGACTTTTTCCAGTTTCAGTGTCATTTAAATTTGTTTTATTGTCTCCTTTATCGAATTACTTTACCGGGTTTCATGGTTGCCATGGCAACCACCATTAGTCTGTGTGCAAAAAATAGCCCTGGGTCATTGTGCCGGCTGGCTGGCTGACCATATTGCCAATTGTCATAGCAACCTTGATACAGGATAGTAAAGTTATTACTTGGGACACACCTTGGGACAAGGAGACATACCTCAAGGAAATTAAAACTAAAAAAAAATGCCGAAAATATTCAAAATTTTGTTAATTTCCATAATTTGTTTGAAAGTTACCCTGGTCAGCTGCCAAAACGAAGAAGAAGAGGTGCCGTCCTTTCGTATTGTGGCACCACAGACCTTGTGCAAACATGAGGACAATGAAACTGCCTCCTCCAACTCCTCCGACAAACAACAACACCAACCCGATGGCGTGACCGTGGCCTTTCAACCCAAAGATGGCATAAAATTATCGTATAAATTTAAAATATTTTTTAAAATTTTGGGACCCGACCCCTTAACCCAACGTGAGACACTATTGGTGTGGAAGGCCGTCCGAGCTTTGGAACAGCAATTGAATAGCCAACAACGTTTACAAATATCCCGTGATAATATGGCTATGATTAGCAAACGTCAGGTTATACCCGGGGTAAGTTATATTTTCCATGTGGTGGGTATAACAGATGCCGGCGAAACGACAAGGGAACAGGTTTTCACCTTGGACTATGCAGATGGTGTGCTGCAGAATAACGATGTTCCGGAGGGTATTAATTTGTTGCTAATTGGTTCAGAGGAAATTGTGGCCAATATGCAATATCAAATTGTGGCCAAGGTGAGTTTTTGCCGACCCAAACATGATTACTATGTGCAATGGCAATTGGAGGAGGCGGAGCTGGAAGAGGAGAAATTCAAAATGGAATTGGAACGCACGGTGTCAAGTGTTTTGATAATACCGGCAAATGTTTTAAGAGCGGAAAGGAAAACCTCTGTGGAGGCCCAAGTAAGGGAATGGCATAGCAAACGTCTGCTGGCCAGGCAGACAATTATGGTTGAGGTATTGAATAAGGGTTTCCAGGCCATGATTGTGCCGACGGCGGCCCGTATTGGTGAGGGAACCACTTTGACTTTCCGTGTGTTTTTGAGGAATTTCGATATGATCATGGAGGCCAATGTTAAATGGTTACTTCGTAATGCCAACAGCAAGGAGATATTGATGACACAAGACGATCGTGATAATGAATTCCGGGTTAAATTTGAAAAATCTGGCCTCTATCAGGTGGTGGCCAATGTTAGCATTAATGATATATCTACGAGAGTGAAGGCAGAAATTGAAGTGGTCTCCTCATTGTTTGTTAGCTATGATTTCCAAAGGGTACCGAATTTAAATCCCTCCTCAACGGAGGAGTTTCGTTTTTCGGTAATGGCCATGAATTTGGTGGCAAATTGTGAGGCCAGTTGGTTGAGTGCCCAAGAGGATGGTTTCCAGTATATTGCGCCGGGTGTGTTGGACCCCAAAGATAATTATGGTTATACCAAGATATCGGATTTGGAAAAATATTATCTTGAGGAAATTATCGATTTTACAAATTCCACAGTAAATCGTGAGATATCGCTGCAAATTCCCGCAGCCGGTAGGGAAATGAAAAATGAATTAACCTGGCCAGGGTTTGAGGGTGATGCAATGTATAAATTTCGTTTGGATGTGACATGTCCGAAGCCGTATCAGGAGCAACGAGCAATACGGCAAATGGAAATGGGAGAAGAAGAAGAGCCTTGGAGAAAACGGGTAACCAGTTATTTCACCATAGATCTGCATACAAATTCACCACCACAGGCCTTAAAGCTATTGATGGAACCTTTAGAGGGAGTGGCTTTGAAATCTGTATTCAATTTTAATTCCCAAGAGGCAAAGGATTTGCTTTTGGATTCACCCGTGCGTTATGAACTGAAAATAAAAATGGAAAAATTTAGTTTATCATTTGGCCGATATTTTCAATATAAATCCTGGCAAACAATACTACCCTATATGGGTGAAGGAAGCTCTACCTCCCATGCTATGGAAATAATGGTGGAAATTTGTGATATACGTGAGGCCTGTAGTCAAATTGCTAACAATACCCAATTAATGATACACTTTGAGGAATTCCGGGATGTCGAATATGAAGAATATTTACAGCAGATTAATGCCTGTTTTATGCGGACAGATTATCAGGAGGGTTTGAATCTCTTGACAATGGCTTTGATTACCTTAAGGAATGGTAATTCCTTGTATCGTGAGAGATTTGAAAAATACACCAAGGTCTTGATAAATAAAGAATTGGATAAATTACTGGAACAACCTGACAATCAGGTGTACATAAGTCCCGATATTATACACCTGTTTGTGGAGAAATCTAAAGAGTTATTAGATTACACCCAACAAATGGATAAGCAGATTTTGGAGAAATTAATTGAGATTATGGAAAATCTAATTGACAACCCCACCACCTCCCCCACAATGATGGAGGAAAGGCGTTTCAAAAGGAATCTACCGGGGCGCCATCGAACCAAACGTATTGTCAATCAAAATCAAGATTTATATCAAAGGACCCAGTTAATACTTTTGGAAGATTTATTAAAAACCGAAGGCTATCACGCGGAGGCCATGAATAAATTCATAGAGAAAATCTCGAAATTGGCTCAGAAGTTGTGCCTAAAGCGAAATCTCAATACAGAGACACTGAAAAGCAATATGGTCTCCCTTACGCTTAAACTAATAAAGGGTTCCGATATGTCACAGTCGACACAAATAAGTGAGGATATTTTCGATAAAATTGTAATGCATTTTAAATTAATGGAAACGAATGCAAAATATTGTTTGGTTATTAGGACCTATAATTTTCCAAATCGACCACAAGAAGAAAATGAGGAAGAAGGAGATCCCTCATCCACCTCCTTTTCTTCTTCCCTATTGCACTATAACATCTATGAAATCCTTGATGATGGCAATCACTTAAAGGAATTAAATTTGCAAAATATAAATCCCTCCTCCTCCACCTCCTCTTCGGCTGCTTCGGCTCCCATACAATTGGACATTTATCCCTTGGAACAAAAAGTCAATAAATGTTATATGAAGCCTTCATATAACGCACCATGGTCCATGGATGCCTGTAAATCATTGGAACTGGGAAAATTTCTACGGTGTTCTTGTACCCAGACAGGATTTTTGAAACCTGTATATATTGCAACACCAACCACCACCACATGGAAGCCCATACGGAATCACGATGCAACTGCAGTTACACCACCATTCTCTATGACCTCACCACCACCCACATTTATTTCCCTAACCACCCTGCAGCAATCGAGCACCCTAGAGACGACGACACAAATAACTTCATCGTTTAGCAGCACCTTGCGATCATGGAATCCAACACCAATTACCGGCTTCCCCATAAAAATACCCACATTTCAACCGACACCAGAAACAAATACCAGGGTCTATATGCAGCCCACAACACCGGTGGAAACTATACAACGTGCCGGCTCACCCATCTACTATATAATACCCTTGATTTTCATATTATTATTTTTATTAATCGGTATTCTATATTTTCTATATCGCCGCCGTTTACAACAATCATCATCGGGGGGTTTGGGAAAAAATATTACCTCCTCTTCGTCGTTATTGGAATATCGTAAACCAGCAGCGGGTATTAAATATGCAAATATTCAAGATGTCGATATGTTAAGTGGTAATTTTTAAAAATATAAAATAAAAACGCAATTTTTGGGAGCTTTTAAATGGAATTGTTTTTTTAATTACACTGTGAGGCAAAATCGGGGTTAGAGTCAGGAGGTGAGGATGGCTAATTCCTATTAGGGTTGAAAGACCTTGGTGAGTATATAAAAAATACCCTAAGAAGGAAAAATTCGCTACGGGTCAAAGTTCGGAGATATGGTGTGTGATCAGAGCTTACTAGATACAACTAGCAGCCGATTACATCCACCATCTATACCTCCTGCAGCCAAACGGAAGGAGTTCCAACACACCGAAATGATAACATAAGAATCTAATAACTCCATATCCCTTATGAAACAGAAACCAATAAGCCCAAAAAACTAACTTCGAGAAAAAAAGAAAGCCGGACTATTATCGGTTTTATTATCCGGTTCAAAAATTTTTGAAAACCTGTTCTTTCATTTCGCACCCATATGTATTTTTAGAGATTACATTTCTTCAGTAAAATCGAATGGGGAATTTGTTCGTAGAACAGTGAGACCATATTGCTTTTCAAGGTCTCCGTATTGATATTTTTCTTTAGACATAACTTATGAGCCAATTTCGAGTTGTAACTGGGTTCTTCGATATAAATCTTGATTTTGATTGAGATGACGCCCCGGTAGATTTCTTTTGAACCGCCTTTCCTCCGTCATAGTGGGAGCTGCGGGACAGATTTTCCAAAATCGACTTATCCATTTGTTGGGTATAATCTAATAACTCTGGATTTCTCCACAAACAGATGTATAATATCGGCACTTATGTACACCTAGTTGTCAGGGTGTTCCAGTAATTTATCCAATTATGTATTATCAATACCTTGGTGTATTTTTCAAATCTCTCACGATATAACGAATTTTCATTCCGTAATGTAATCAAAGCCATTTTCAGGAGATTCAAGCCCTTCTGATAATTTGTTCTCATAAAACAGACATTAATCTGCTGTAAATATTCTTCATATTCTACATCGCGGAATTACTCACAGTGTATCAGTAATTGGGTATTGTTCATTATTTGACTACAGGTCTCACGTATATCACAAATCTCCACCATTATTTCCAAATCATGGAAGGTGGAGGAGGTGGTTCCGCCACCCGTATAGGGTAGTATTGTTTGCCATGATTTATATCGAAAATATTGGTCAAATGATAAAATAAATTTTTCCATTTTTATTTTCAGTTCATAAAGTACCGGCGAATCCAAAAGCAAATCATTGGCCTCTTGGGAATTAAAATTGAATATAGATTTCAAAGCCACCCCCTCTAAAGGTACCATCAATAGCTTTAAGGCCTGTGGGTGGTGAATTTGTATGCAGATCTATGATAAAATAACTGGTTATGCATTTTCTCCAAAGTTCTTCTTCTTCTCTTCTAATCTCCTATTTCCATTTGTTATATGCGTTGCTCCTGATACGACTTCAGGCATGTTACATCCAAATGAAATTTATGCACGATGGAGAGCGTGCGGATAGATTCTTTCGAACTTCCTTACGAATCTCATATGCACTTGATGAGGTGAACCTCCCTCTCCGAAATCAAATTCCCGTCTCGTCACACAAATTTGCGGAGATACGAAACAGCACGTTTGTAGTGTTTCGCATCAGCTACATCTCGGGCCTTCCCAACATTTGAGCCGCTGTTCGCTGCTGGGGACTCGACAGATTCCCCATCGTCGGACATCGCCTCCGTCGCAGATTGCCTCTGAAGTTTATCGTCGGCAGGTGTCGACACAGGACCTGTTGTAGTCAGACTTGAAGTCGGTCGGTCAACAGGGTCTGCATTTCCTTCGTTAATTCTACAACAATCCCCCTGTGTAGACTTGGCTGGGATCACCGTGGTGTCCAGCTCATCATCAGTTAGGGTGAGATTCAGTAGCAGTTCCTCCGGAAGACCCTCTTCCCATCCGCCACCCGGGAAGACGCGCCTAGTAGGAGATTGGCAACTCCCCTAGACGAGCTGAAGGGAGTCTGTATAGCTTAGTTGTGCGTTTTTTGTTACAAACTTCTTGATTTTTTGAAACTTCGTTTACGCTATCGACCTGTTTAACGATTGACTATTATTAACTCTTTACCATAACAGTTATCGATGTGTTCGGTGGGAAGTGAGTTTCCAGGAGAAGCCTTATTATTTCTTCTGTTGCTTCTATCCTATTACACTCATCTCGGTTTGGGTGTGAATTTTAGTTAGAAACTTCGCGTACGCTATCGATTTGTTCATCGATTATGTTTAGAAATTGTTGAAAGCTCACTAATGTATATATTTTCTTGTCGAAGGTTCTCTCAATATGGTGTAATTTAAATAATAAATTTAACTCCACTTCCGGTACTTACACTTTCTTTAGAGGCCGCATGTAATTTGTCCACCTCTTCTGTTTTGGCTTGCAACTGTTCCTTTAGATCATTATAGTCCTTTTGGAGAACTAAAAAAGAAAAAATATATTACACCTATTTGATTGCAAAATAAAATAAAATGTAATGCCTACCAATCATTTCCGATACTTTAACAGCCAAACGTTTTTCACTTATTTGCAATGCCTCAGATTGTTCAGATAATTTCTTCATTAGCTCTGTCATATTACGTTTCAAATTATCCTTTTGATGTTTCAAATCTTTACATTGAGTTTGCAGAGACTCTTGATTGATGTGTAATTCAAAATTCATGGTGTGATATTTTTCCAGTTCGGCATTTTGAAAATTAATGCGTTGTGAGAGGTGGGTGATCTGAAAAATATATGAGCTAATAAAATAAAATATTGTTAATAATTTTATATCTCACCTCATTACTGGCATCCTCTAAACGTTTTTGCAAACTAGCCTCGGCTGCTTGTAAATTTTTAATTTTATAATTAAACAACTCCATAATTTGTGATGTGGCCACATTATTTAATTGATTGTTGCGTTCAGCATTTGATATCAGTTCAATCAAAGCATTCAAACGCTCTTCCAGCTCTTTGCTGGCAAATGTTTTGTGACTCTTTAAAATGGCATTCAAATTACGCCATTGATCACCATTTGGAGCAGGAGAGGCAAGGTGAATTTGATTGTTGGAGGCATTCAATTTGGAAATGTGCTAAAGGAGAACATCGCATCAATTCAGAAACGTAATTAAAAACATATTCTTATACTCACCTTGGCCACTTCAAATTGTGGAAAATGTTCAAATTGTGATATTTGAAAGACAGCAGAACACACCCGTTCTCCACCACTCACCATGGCCCGGGCCAAGGCATGTTGTATCTGCGGCAATTGTAATAGATTACAGCACTTTTCAAAATATGCCTTTTTGGCAATATCGGTAAAATTTATGAGTAAAAGTAAACAAAATATTGACTTTTCTATTTCTTCCATGGACAAAAAACTATCGGGCATTTCCGTTTTAACGGCCAACAATGGGGCTAATATTTTATCAAAATAGGATTCGGTAATTTTGGACAAAATTAATTTTTCTGTTTTCGTTTGATGTAGCAGTGAAACCAATAGTTGTAATACGGCAGCTGTGTGTAGTGGTGATGTTTCCGGTTTTTCCGATGTCAATATTAGCTGAATAATTATGGAAGGATCGCGTGAGATACGTGGTGCTATGGATTCTTTTTTGGCTGTAAAAATTTCAATTTATATATTTTTTAATTGAATTGAAAAGAATTTCATAAAACTTACCCAATCGAACTAAGCTGTCCAACAGATTTATGGCTTGCACCCCACAAACTTCCGATTGCAGCCAACTGCATAACAGCTCAAATATCCTGGGTATATTTGAATCTAAACTAATGGCAACATTTTCTTTGCCTTCCTCATCGATTTGACCCGACAAATCCATAATATGTTCCATTAGTTCGAACAGCAAACCCATACAGATTTGTTCATGCTTCCGTGAATCATCACTAGAATCGTCCATGGATCGTCGTGACTCTAAACGCTGAAAAGAAAAATTATGAAAAAAAATAGATCTATGAAGACTTTATAGACGACCATATGGGAGTCTTTATAGACGAGCTGAATGGGAGTCTTTATAGACGAGCTGAATGGGAGTCTTTATAGACGAGCTGAATGGGAGTCTTTATAGACGAGCTGAAGGGAGTCTTTATAGACGAGCTGAAGGGAGTCTTTTGAGATGAGCTGAAGGCAGTCTTTTGAGATGAGCTGAAGGGAGTCTTTTGAGATGAGCTGAAGGCAGTCTTTATCGACGAGCTGAAAGGGAGTCATTATATACGAGCTGAAGGGAGTCTTTATCGACGAGCTGAAAGGGAGTCATTATATACGAGCTGAAGGGAGTCTTTATCGACGAGCTGAAAGAAAGTCTTTATAGACGAGCTGAAGGGAGTCTTTCTAGACGAGCTGAAGGTAGTCTTTATAGACGAGCTGAAAGGGAGTCTTTATAGACGAGCTGAAAGGGAGTCATTATAGACGAGCTGAAAGGAAGTCTTTATAGACGAGCTGAAAGGGAGTCTTTATGGACGAGCTAAAATGGAGTCTTTATAGACGAGCTGAAAGGAAGTCTTTATAGATGAGCTGAAAGGGAGTCTGTATAGACGAGCTAAAAGGGAGTCTTTATAGACGAGCTGAAAGGAAGTCTTTATAGATGAGCTGAAAGGGAGTCTGTATAGACGAGCTGAAAGGGAGTCATTATAGACGAGCTGAAGGGAGTCTTTATAGACGAGCTGAAAGGGAGTCTTTATAGAAGAGCTGAAGGGAGTCTTTATAGAAGAGCTGAAAGGAGTCTTTATAGACGAGCTGAAGGGAGTCTTTATAGACGAGCTGAAAGGGAGTCTTTATAGACGAGCTGAAAGGGAGTCTTTATAGACGAGCTGAAGGGAGTCTTTATAAACGAGCTGAAGGGAGTCTTTATAGACGAGCTGAAAGGGAGTCTTTATAGAAGTGCTGAAGGGAGTCTTTATAGAAGAGCTGAAAGGAGTCTTCATAGTGGAACTGAAGGGAGTCTTTTGAGATGAGCTGAAGGGAGTCATTATATACGAGCTGAAAGGGAGTCTTTATAGACGAGCTGAAAGGGAGTCTTTATAGACGAGCTGAAAGGGAGTCATTATAGACGAGCTGAAAGGGAGTCATTATAGACGAGCTGAAGGGAGTCTTTATAGACGAGCTGAAAGGGAGTCTTTATAGACGAGCTGAAAGGGAGTCTTTATAGACGAGCTGAAAGGGAGTCTTTATAGACGAGCTGAAAGGGAGTCTTTATAGACGAGCTGAAAGGGAGTCTTTATAGACGAGATGAAAGGGAGTCTTTATAGACGAGCTGAAAGGGAGTCTTTATAGACGAGCTGAAAGGGAGTCTTTATAGACGAGCTGAAAGGGAGTCTTTATAGACGAGCTGAGGGGAGTCTTTATATGCGAGCTGAAGGGAGTCTTTATAGACGAGCTGAAGGGAGTCTTTATAGACGAGCTGAAGGGAGTCTGTATATATGTACTGAACTGATGACATTCTTTATAGACAACCTGATGCGCGTCTCAATAATATCCTGAAAAATTCTAATTACGTAATTTCTCTTAGACTTCTATAAACAGTTGGTTTTCCCTACAAAAAAAAATCCGAATAAAAATTTCTACTCACATCCAATAACTTTTCAATATCCTCAAAATAGAATTGATAACTCATCATTGCCTGGTGCAGGCCACTATGGGCCTTCGAGTCCTTAAGAAATTCTACAATGTGCATTAAGTGCGGAACATTCCATTGTTTTATGCACTCTTCGACGGCGGTAAAACATGAACGTATAAATAGATGTAATTCCTTTTGATCCGGCGAATGGATATCCTCCGATAAAATGATTAACATTTTATTAGCCAGCACTCCATAGTTTTGTATACGACGACTAAATGTAGAAATATTCACAGAGCGCAGGAACAAAAAGAGAACCACAAAGTTTTTATAACACAAATTGATGAGAACCGATAACGCCAACTGGGCATGTGTTTCTTCACCCTCCTCGGTTGCTTGATAGACAATTTGTACCAGCTGTTCCAGCAACACCACAATATATGGTTCCTCCCACGATATTTGTATGCCAAATGTTAACTCCTGCAGCAGGGTCAAAACCTTTAATTGTTTATCAGCACCAGCAGTGATACGTTTTAGCAAAAATGTCAACAATGGTATGAATCGGTATTCCTCTACAATTGCCTTACGGGCATCGAGATTTTTGGAACAATGCTGCAGTAGGGACACACATGCCCACAATGCATCCGAATCCGTGGATAGGCTACCCATAACTGCATGTAAATCAATATAGAATTTCGACACCTCCAAATGTCCTGGTGCAAAATGTTGTGGCTGTATGGCGGTGCTTAGCAGAGAGGCATTGCGGTTCAGTAACACCAGGGAATCTTCAGATTTGTTGTTACGATAAAGGGCGGCTTGTGTGCTAAATTCTCGAACATAACTAATGGCATTGGCGGCATCGCTGTGACTGCTGGTGGTGTTATTTTTGCGGGAACTCATTTTGTAATGGAATTTGTTTAATTAAAATATTTGGATTTTTAAATATTGTATTTAAATATGTAGATTTGAAAAAAGCGAAACTTGAAGAGTGCGGCACAATTGTAGTTGTTGTATTTTGAAAATTAAAATTTCGCAAACAAAACCAGCAATCTGTCATCGGCGGCTGTCAAATGAAATTGGATGTGTTCAATATTAGTTGCCAAAGCGACATCTGTATGTCAGCAGCAGGAGAGTTCGTGGTTAGTCATTATTGAAGAATTGAGATTCTTTGCAGACTAGCAAAAGGAAGTCGTTATAGACGTGCTAAAAAGAGTCGTTATAGATGAGCTAAAGACAGTCGTTATAGACGAATTAAAAGAGTGTCGTTATAGACGACTCAATTCAAGCCATTATTGGCGGGTTGAGGGGCGTCTTTATGGATCAGTTGAAGGGTATTTATACGTGGTGAAGATGGTCATATAGAAACATATGAGGGAGGAGAGGTGATTTCCCAAACAAGCAGATGGGAAATCGCCTCTCCTCAATCATATGTATTGGCACTTCCCCCTTCGCTTTTATTTTTATTTTTTTTTTGCCCGGACTTCGAATAGAGCGGCAAAGGCCTAGTCAACTAAAAAATTTAAACCTTTAGATTGGGTTTCAATTTTTTTATTCTCCCGCATAAAACTACGAAGTCAAGAATTTTCAAAATACCGAATATGGTTAGCGACATTTATGTGCGACTAGTCCAACATCCATATTTTGAAAGTGAAGATTTTTTCCAAGTGGTATTTCATTTTCTAAGAACATAAAATGCCAAGATATCGATGCTGGTATATGGATCTGAAGCATACGTACTTGCACTAGTTTATGAGGCAGCTCTTGGAGAGAAAAATTCTCCGAAAGATCTGCGTCGAATGAACCACGAGCTACACCATATGTACGATGTCTGGGTAGATGTATCGAGCTGCAGTGACTGCTGTGGGTAGACCATGTTGTGCAAATAGATGAGGATATTCGAAAGGCATATAAAAGGCGACACTACTGATAGTTCATGCAGAAGGGGAAGGTCAAGAATTCGATGCAAATATCAAGTGAATGACAATGTCACGAAACAAGGTCTTCAAATTGGAAAAATTGCGCATAGGATAGGCTTATCAAAAACCAAATAAGTAATATATAAAGCGCTCGGGACCTCAAATGGGGAAGTTGGTTGTTATTCTTTGAATATTCATAATACAAAGTTACTTACAACATCGGCCAAATTTTCTAAAAAAAACTATTCGTAGATAGATTGGATAAATTTGTAAACTTTCTTCCGCTCCAGCCATAGGTCAGTTTTGGGATGACCGATGTAAAATGATATGATAAATTGTTGCACTCCAAAGTCAGCTGTCTTCTATTTTGAACGGGTACATGTACATTTATTTTTATTAGCATTAAGGATATCCGCACAAGAACCACCTTATCCAGGATGGGTTGTCTGTCTCTTCAACGACTTCAATATCTATTTTTATTTGAGAACACAACTTTTATTCTTTAACACGCAAGTTATAAAAACCGTCTTAAGACGTTTATAATTTTATGACACTTTTCACACACACTCAAGTGGTCGCAGCAGTATCTGATTTCATGGAAATAGGCAGGGCAATGTGCAAAAGCATTGATACGTACCTGCTGAATACGCTGAACTTATTTTAGAATGAAAAAGGGATTAGGGGATTAGGCCAAGGATGTGTTGTGCCGTGGGTGGACAACTGTCTGCCGGCTTTTGTGTGAAACTAATAAAAAACTTGTCACCAAGCGAATTGGTACCTGTCACCCTATGACAGGTGCTTGCCACAATCGCTAGCACAGACTTAAGAACGATTTGTATATAAATGCCTGGGATATCAATGAATAGCAACACAGTTCAACAACTGACTTCCAGCGTTAAACACACTCACTTAACTAGCTCACGCTTAACTCTCCAGTTTTAAACGACGAACACCACAAATCATTTAAACATGGGTTTTGAACAAAGCTTCAGTGAATTACACATTAGCAGTCAATCGCCAGCTTCGTACGTTAAGCCCCATCCATATCAGGTGGCGAATTTGGTAACAACAGAAATGCGCTTGAAGCGTATTGCCAAACGGCAAATGGATAGTGCCACAATGTTTAGTCGTCTGCAGGTGATTATCGATCAAATGGAGGAGACATTTAGGGCGTCATCAAGTTGTAATCAGGTGTCACCGACAAATCACATTGCCGGTAGTGAACACAACTACGCCTACACCAACTCTTCATCGGGAGTGTCATCGACAACATCCTCGCCATCGACTGGCTCCCCAGCTTCTTCAGTGGATGAACAACAACAACAAAGTCCAAATGCTGGTAACAAAAGGAAACTCAACGATGAAGATTATCAACAAGAAGACGCCTATCCTGCAGTGTGCGAAAACTCACACCCAGCCGTAGTTGCGCTAACATCCAATGATGCCAGCCACCACCATCAATATCCCCAACAAATTGGCGAAGTGGTTATCTTGGGACCCAATGGTACACAAATTGATGCCAGATCCTATAGCAGCATTATTTGGTCATCCTCTGCCTCGGCTACCCGTCAACTTTTGGGCTTTGTTTTTAGCAGCGATGTCTTGGCCACCCACACACTGACCGGTAAACCTTCGCCAGCATTTTATGGCCGCGAAAGACCAGCCAAAATGCAATTGGATCCCATTAAGGCCGCCGATATTATTCACTGTGTCAAAACGAAGTTCCATTGCACAGAACGCGAAATTCGTGCCGCAATCACAACGAAATGTTCCGATACATCAAAGAAATATAAACGGCGTTCATTGAAACAAATCGATGCAGTGAATAAAATGTAAGGGGGCTGAGGAGGCTGGCTGATTCCTGGAGGATGTTTTCTATGTTTTTGAGTATAACTTGTAAATATTTTGTATGTTAAATTAGTTTTTAAGTGTTCAAATGTGATTGTTTTATAAAAAGAAAATTTAAATACAATTAAAATTAAAAAAATTAAAATTTGTTGGATTTTTATTTCTTCTTTCACAGCAACATTTTTTATTTTTCTTCTGGTTTTTAGAAATTAACACTAACGATTTATTTTCGTGATTAGTTTAGTATTTGGGGGCTAATAAGTTCCACTCATCACTTTGAACCGGAACCTTTTTTGGGATCCCAAGCTTCAATCTTGGTACGGGTGGTGCTATAGGGCATATATTGTTCTGGAATAAAAAAAAGAGAAAATTAGTGATTAGAAATGAATTGTCAACTATTATAATTTGAGTCAGCCGTGCAAAAATATTAATAAATTCGATAATCGGGTAAAACGTAAAACATTCAGAATAAATCCCCATAATACCAAACACTAATAAAAAATGACCCAAACAGAATATCATATATTTTTACAAAAATAAGTTAAACGGTTTAGTTCCGTCTGATCGAATTTTTTATATACTTTACCAAAGACCTTTATTTCCACCCTCATGTGGAACAATGCTACAGCGAATGGTTTTGGGAAGTGTGGGTCTAAAGAGGACATAGCAAACAAGTGGAACTGGCTGCTAGAAACACTAAATCGCAGCCACAATTCACGTCCGAGTGCATGCAATATGCATTATGTGGTAGTAGGTTATTCATGCATACAGCAAAAATAACAAAGAAAACTCACAACAAATTCTCAATATTTACTACGGGCAAAAAAAAAAAAAAAATGTGGAATTATGAATGGAAAATTATTTATTTATTCATGGTAATTTCAAAGTCCGAGGACCACATTGAAGAAATTAACAATCAACATTTTAAAATTGACTTATTAAACGGAATTTGCTTCCAATACGACATGTTTTGGCCCTAGGATAAAATTCAATGGCTTGAAATTTATATTTTTAAACATTCACTTGTAAAATCGGACGAAAGTATATATGGAAGCTATATCTAAATCTGGGCCGATTTCAAAAAAAAAAAAAATCGCATACATCAATCTGGACATAATTCAGTACTCGGTGTATTTTTTTTTTCAATCGGACCAATATTGGCAGTATGGTGCTCTACATAAAATCGGACGAAACTATATATGGGAGCTATATCTAAATCTGAACCGATTTTCTCCAATTTCAATAGGGTTCGTCCTTGGGCCAAAAAAAAGTGACATGTGATAAATTTCATCCAAATCGGATCATAATCGATCTGTACTTGGTTCATACAAATTCATGGACGGACGGACAGCCGGACATGCATAAATCGACTCAGAAAGTGATTCTATGTATATTCTCATAAGGAACCTCGTTTCCATTTTCCTATTACAAATATATGCACAAAGACATAATACCCTGTATCACAGTGTGGTGAAGGGTATAAAAATATTCTTAAAAAAAAAAATCCCGCCCCTTGTACCCAAAAAAGTATTTGCAAGCCAAAAAAATAATTTGAAAAACATCCACTACGCCTTTAGTAAGTGCAAATAATAAAATAATTTTTAAAAAATCTGCCTCTTTGTTAAACCAAAAAAATATTAAAAAAATTAAAGCCTCCATTAAAAGCCAAATATATATATATATATATATATATATAGGGGAGAGGGGGGCACCTTTGAACACTTTTTGCTTTCAAGCCTTATAAAATTTTTTATTTTATAATTTTTAGTTTCTTATAAATTTTAACTAATAGGACATACTATAAGCTTGATAAATATATTTCATTACTGTTTTAATGGACGAACTGCCCCCCCCCCCCCCCCCCAGGGGGGCACCTTTGAACAAGGCTTGACATTTTTGAACGACATGATTTTTTACAGTGTTTATGTTCAAATATGTATGTATTTTATTAATACATATCAGAAATGCATTAATTCATTAAAAAATATATAAAAAAATTTCAAAATTTTAAAAATTTAGATCAAAAGTTATTAAAACATAAAATGACTTAAAAACAAAAATTAATATGGTGAAAAATACAGTTAATTTCGTAATCTTATTAACCGATTTGAAATTTTGAGAAATCGAAGCCAAAAGTTAAAAACTTCTGTTTTTACTCGAGTTTAATGGGCATGTTCAAAGGTGCCCCACCCATGGCATTTTACGGAAATTTAAAATAACTTTTTTTGTTATAAATATACAGTGAGTGTAATAAGTATTTTGCCTCAATATAAATTTGACAAAATTCTAATATATACGCCTAAAGCCAGCATACTAAAGATGTAAAATTAATTATGTATGATGGGATATGTTTGTGGACATATTTAGATCTTATTTCTGCAAGAATCACTGCGAAAGACCTATTGGTCACGAAGATATCGGCCAAAATCTATACCAACACTAAAATGATTATCACAAAAAAGTATTTTGCTTTTTATTATCATTTTTGAAAAAATCATTATATAACACACGCTTTGTCTTTTTATATTTACCATTGCGGGTAACCACATACTAAAAGCGATTTGGCGACGATTCCAATAAACCACGGCATTTTTTCGCGAATATTTGCTCACACTTACGTTCAATACATTCTCCAGCAATTTTTCATTTAATATATGGTAATTTCTCGTCCTAATCTCAAAATGAGAGTATTAGATATGGTCGTCGCGGCTTTAAAACATCCCAAATAACTTTAGAATAATAAAAAGAACGGTTTTGTGGCAATAGAAATACATCAAATTTCGAAAATAAATAGATCGACCAGTTTATTCACTGATGCATTTTATTCACAACTGATGGTGTTAAACGGATGTAAAATATTGACTGCGTATTCGTCACCAGCTACCACAGTTTTTTAAAACGCAATAGTATTTGACGAAGATTGATGTTTTCTCCCAACTTCATGTACTGTTTGTAGTTTCTGTTGTTTTAGAACTGTAAATTTCTTTGAATCTGACCACCTTATTGCTATTTTAATCGCATATATTGGTTCCTAGATCAATATTAATGAACCATAAGGTTTTCAAAGTCAGAAAAATGGGGTTTCGCGATATTTTTTTTAATAATTTGTTTGTCGGATTTTGGTTTTAATAGTTTTTAAGGTCCTGTCCTCGCGATTTATTTTTCAAAACCTCCTTTTTATTATTCTAAAGTTATTTGGGATGTTTTGAAGCCGCGACGACCATATCTAATACTCTCATTTTGAGATTAGGACGAGAAATTACCATATATTAAATGAAAAATTGCTGGAGAATGTATTGAACGTAAGTGTGAGCAAATATTCGCGAAAAAATGCCGTGGTTTATTGGAATCGTCGCCAAATCGCTTTTAGTATGTGGTTACCCGCAATGGTAACTATAAAAAGACAAAGCGTGTGTTATATAATGATTTTTTCAAAAATGATAATAAAAAGCAAAATACTTTTTTGTGATAATCATTTTTGTGTTGGTATAGATTTTGGCCGATATCTTCGTGACCAATAGGTCTTTCGCAGTGATTCTTGCAGAAATAAGATCTAAATATGTCCACAAACATATCCCATCATACATAATTCATTTTACATCTTTATTATAATTTTTTTATATTATAATTTTGTCAAATTTATATTGAGGCAAAATACTTATTACACTCACTGTATATGAAAGAAAATACATAAGTTATGTTTGAAATGATTGTTGGAATGCAAAAAAAATTGTTTGACGAAAGAAAACTATCACATAATTCTTCCTGCGCCCTTACAACCAAAGGAATAAAAGTTTACAATCACGGGATTTCATTCCCCATATAATTTTTTCACACACCCAATATCTTGTTGCCCAGGGTATTTACTGTCAATCTCACACTCTTTCAGTATTGTCATATGGTTTAAAATATTTTGCCAAAGTCTTCAATATTGCCCACACTTAACTGAATTTATTTGGCATTATAATATATTCTTTACATTGCTTTGTAAAAATCCTTTTAAATTTCATCTGTAATATTAAATATATTCTCAATAGCGTCAACATGTTTTATCATGATTTTTCAATAGCTATTCAATCTTTCAAATTCACAGCATTCAGATTACAAATATCTGACCACAAAAGATTCATATTGCAATGGTGCGTTATTGTGGTACCCACGAAAAAAGAAGATCATGCATGACCCTCAATAAAATCAAGATATTTGGTTATAAAATTACTTAACCTGTTGGTGGTTGTAAAGGTTTTAATAATTTATGTTTATAATTTTATGACACCTTTCACAGGCACACACCATACCGTACGCGGCGGAGTACCTCTGTTCATGGAAATAGGCGCAATGTGTTACTTTGTTTTCACATGCTCAATCGGACAAGTACCTGTCGATCTATTCGTTGAACTTATTCGAGAATGAAAAGGGATCGTGGATTAAATTTAGGATATGCAAACAACTGTCGTTGTGCAAAAGTAAAAAAAATTGATACCTGTAGAGGGTGGCTGTTGCATTGACAGGTGCTTGAGTTTTTAAGATTGAAGGTAAACAGAGTTTTGGTTGTGTATAGATATCAATGAAATTATCATTGAATTCGGCAGTCAGTTAAAGAAGAAACTTCGAAATATAGTGTTCTACTTCCTGGTGAGGTTTGTAAAATTTGTAAACAACCGACGAGAAGGTCTATAGGTTCTTCCTTTTTCCTTTCTAAGAGGTTAAACGATTTTGTTGGTCAATGTAACTCTAATGTCGTGAGTTTACGAGTTTTTTTGACGAGGTCGTGTAGAATGCGTACTTTTTAAAGAATCAATTTGTTTAAAACTTTAGTTTTTCTAGTCGACCTACATGTAGAGGAACTGTTGATGTTATTACCGATATTTTAGTCTAAGTGATTTTAAGGGATGTTTGCATAGAGACGAGTCCCCATATTTTGTGCATGTTTTCTAATTGACGGTAATGTGGAGTTGTTGGTTCCCTCTCTATTTGGCCATGTTTCTGTGTTGGAACCATATAACGGTACATTTTTACAATAAAGTGACTTTTTTCGGTAATGCTGGTATTTGAGGCTGGCATATTAAATTTTTTCCAATAAAAAAGGACGTAATTTAATTTCGTTTAAATATCACATTGCTCACCTTGAGTACCGGACAAATTTTCACTGTGATCAGCCATCCACTTGTGTTTGGGACGGTTGCCATCACGGATTGGTGGCAAATCGGTCTAAAAAAAAAACAGAAACACACATTACAAACCATTATCCCACATATTCACATCATTTCCAACATTACCTTGTAATGCATCCAACCGAACCATTCAGCTGGAATTTGCGAACCATCATAATCCATATTCACATGTTCGGCAAATTCAACCCAACGATTTCTGCCATAGAAATAATAGGGATTTTCGTAATACTTGTTGCCGTATTTGTCGGTGCCAACCAATGTACCGATTTTCAAATCATCATTTCTGCAATTATAAACAAATTATGCATTAAACGCTAGGAGACTTTCTGGGCAAAAACTTATATAATTTCAAGAGGCAAATCGGCCCAACTACTTACCTATACAATTTGAGATAGGTATTTTTCAGACCGCCATTTTGGCGAACAATCTGAAAAAGTTTACCCAAGCGATCCAAGCCAAGATATTTCGACATTCTAATAAATAAACAATAAGAAATATTCAATTTTTTCGTAATATAATCAGATTTTCCGACGGAATTACCTGTCCGTTTGCTGTGCAAAAAAACTTCAGTGACCAAATAACAGCTGATTTGATGGAATTAATTTGACATTTATTTTGTGTTATCAATTTACTTTGCATGTGTTGACGGAAAAAAGAAGCACACAACAGCCGGTAAATAATAACTGAACACAATCAATAATCTAAAATGTGGTTTATTTAATAAATTATTAGATGACTTTCTATAAATAATAATAATATATTAATAATTTGATAACGGTAATTCCCAAAATATATATCTACTTTAAATAGAATATAATTTACCAAAACATTGAATTGTGACATGGTGTGGTATGTTCAGTGAGCTTTTGATTCATATCTTGAGAATTCATGCAAAACAAAAGTTGGTTCCCTCACTCAAAAAGTGGAGTTTCCGAAACAGAGCAATAACTATTTATCTGAAATAAGAGAAATTAATTCAACTTTAACAGCCTGTTTTTGTAAAATTCCAAACGAACGAATTCGAGTGACTTACGACCAAACCTTTATTTATGTTTATAAAGGTTTTCTGATTCAAAACAAAAATAAATGACATATTTTTCAAAACCAAGGAGTTTGGTCGTAAGTCACTCGAATTCGTTCGTTTGGAATTTTACAAAAACAGGCTGTAATAGTCAACTTAAGCAAATAGAGAACAATGACGCATAAGGTACGTTCAGTGATTTCGTTTTGTATATCCAACCTTAAAGCTCCTTTAGCCTACGAAAATTATTCGCAAACGTGTCGTATGTTCATACCCTGCGCAGTAATTACATTTTTCATTCCGACCCTCGAAATATTCGGGGGTCACCTCATAAACTGATAATAAATTTATAAAACAATATTTAAGAAATAGGCGGAGAATATGATGATAGAACTCCGTTGTCCTCAGCCCCACCGCTGTTACATCGCTATGGCTAAAATTTGAGAGTAATATCTAATTCTCCATCGGAAGGGTTAAAGACTTTATTGTTCTTGGAGCTTAATCCAGTTACTACATCCTGAAATAGTGAGTTGTCTACCTTAGAGGGGATGAGGGTATGGAACAGTTCAGCAGCGGCAGCCTTACAATGGTTCAGGTTTAGATGCACCACTCAACCAACTGCAACTTTTTTTCCTATAAAAAGTGGTGCAATTTCGCAACAAGTGCCATCTTACAACCTTTTTGCGGAGTATAAATGTCATGAACTGAAACCCGCAAACTCCTTATTTTTACAGTTATTCATCTTGACCCCTTTGCATAAGGAGACCTGACCGAATCGATGGTTTCGACGATCAACTTTGTCAGTGAGGAACAGGTCCTTCATATTCAGATCGAAAGGGGAATTGGATGGAAATATCAAGTAGAAGACAACATCTTGGAAGATGGTCTTTCAAATTGGAAGAGATGCGCATAAGACCGACGCGCTTGGAAATATTTTTAAGCTCGGCTTTTGGAACAACTGTTCTGTAACATGCCACAAAAGTAAAAGTATGCAAGTTTTACGGACTTTCCTTCTAGCCGATTTTGTTACGTCTTGCATTCCTTCACAATGGTAAATGATGCCATATATTTTTCGTCATTCAAGGTCTTGAGATTAAAGGTCTTGAGATTTCTCCTCCATTGGAGTATTAACTTTGGCCACGTTTGCATGCGACGTCGGAAATTATATCAATCAAGGTGTCACTCGCAGTACTACTCGGATAGTTCCTTGTGAATATCCGAATAATTCATAATGTTTTGACCACAGTCGAAGACCCCGCTGAAGTGAGGTTATCGGTATTATATCTAGAAGCAAAGCGGAAAGCTACTGCGGACTGTCATGTGGTCGAAGTGAAGACTCTCAGAGGAAATGATCGTGTGTCAATGATCCTTGGCCCATTGGCGCCCTAACACTTCTTCAGTGGAGAAGTAGAGACCCGCTTTCAATGCAGAAGACTTTAATTGCGGATGAGAACAAATTTACTATTGTTTTAAATGAGATCAACAAAGACATAAACCAGACAGAGCGAAGCACTTCGCAAGTTCGAAAAGGGATATATCCAAAAGGGCTCTGGATGAGAAGGTTTACCTAGGGCAATTTGCTATTTTTAAGATATTTTGACCATGACCCCAATAAACTCATCGAAAAGAACTCCTTTTTATTAGGAAACATTTAAAGGTCGTGAAGAAGTATTCCCATAATTTCCCTCAAAAAGCCTCTAGAGAACTTCTAATCAAAAGGATTCCAATATCTCGCAGTGAAGTCCTACGATACAGGAGCAAACCTCCTAACATATCGAATAAGAACGCAGGAGATGACTTCAGTGGAATAAGTTCCAAACTTTTCAAAAGCCCTTTCCGAACCAAACACATTAATAATTTTTATGATGTATTTGTAAGAAGAAAGGAGCCCCATGTTAGGTTTATTTTCAGGTTATTTTAATTTTGTTTTATCTAGGGATAAAAAGTAATAATATATATTCTATTAAAAATTGTCAGATCTCACAATTAATTAAGCTGGATCTAAAAGAGATAAACTAATTACCATTCAATCGCTTCGTTATATTTAAATTTCTATAGTAATAATAGTAATAAATATGTATAATTTATTGTTAATTAAATAATATTAAAAAAATAAACAATTTAACAGCATTAGGTACATTCAGTGATTCCACAAAAATAACTGAACACAATCTACAATCATCTTGTTATCATTTACGTCGATTAACCAAAAAACAAACGAGCAAGAAGAAGCACATTATTTGACAATTGATGATATTTTGGTTGGGGTATGTTCAGTGTTTTGTCTTCCAGATACCGACGACGTCTAGCAGAGTGAATCATTTACATTGTTTTTATCTTGAAATAATTCCAGCAACTTTTTTGTATTCTGTTATAAGAAAAGTGAAAATAAAGACTGCATTCATTTATATAATGGCCAAAAATACCTCCAGTTCTGCATTCCGTAAAATCGATGTCGATCAATACAATGAAGACAATTTCAAAGAAGATGAAGCCGATTCGGTGGCAAATACATGCGATGAAAATCTCATTACCAATCTACTGACAGAAGGCAAGTGTATAGAGGCTTTGGTCTCTGTCTTACAGAATGCTCCTTTGAGATGTAAACAACAACATGTCAAGGTATGAAGATAAAACTTTTTGATTTAAATGTTTATTTAATTAATGTTATCTCCCTTCGTCTTTCCATTGCCAAAAGGACCACGCCCTCAATGTTACCCTCAAGGTATTGCTCTCTATTAAATCATCACAAATGGATCAGGCTGTTGAGGTACTGGATCAAAATGACTTACTCGATGTTCTTATGAAGTATATATATCGTGGATTTGAAATGCCCTCGGAAGGTTCAAGCGGTCATCTGTTACAGTGGCATGAAAAAGTCTTTGCCAAAGGTGGTCTGGGCTGTATTTGCCGTGTGCTGGCCGACACCAATCGTGCCTAAGGGCCGGGCCAATAGTGCTGTTCTTGAAAAGGAATTGTTAATAGTAATTGTAATTTATAATGCATTTTTTTAAATATGATTGTCAGTCATCATCAAAAAAACATTTGATCTTCTTAATGTGTGTGTTTGTGCGAGTGCAAGAAGCCATTAAGCTAGATACAGTCAGTTTTATTAATGGATAACGAATAAGGAAACAAAGTTAAACGTCGTGTGTTTAGTATGTAGTATTTTCCTGCTCTGAGTATTGCCTATTATTTTGTTTATTAATATTAAAGTATCTTTTTTATATCATCTAAATGTGTATACCTATTTTATTAATATCTTATGTTTTAAAAACGGTTTACTTTCTACTAGTTAAAGAAGAAAAGTAAGATTTTGTAAATCCAAAGTAAACACAAAACCAAAATACATTAACCTGTAAACATAAGGTAGATGGAATTATTTAACTGATGGAGCGAATTTGGAGCTTTTGACTGACCGCTGTAATCTTTCTTTCAAAGTAGATTTTGTGTGATACTCATCAGTATGCAGATATGCAAGGATACATTTTAGAGATCTCCATCAATTGATCAGTTCGTGAAAACCTCTAGATCTTCTAAGATGTGGGCATAACAGACGGATGGGATTTCATTAGAGTTCTTGAAAAAGATCGGACCTTTAGCTGTTTAAGTAGTCTTAGTCGTGAATAAATTTGGAGAAGGACAGTGGAGATGGACTACGTGCATAGCCACCTTACAGGAGGGCTTTGGTTTGGTTGTGCATTCCGTGAGGTGCAGCATGTTAATTGTTTGTGTTCAGTGTGCTGGCTATTCGTTAGTTGCTGCCAGTAAAGTGACGTGTTGTGGTTTCCTCCTTCACCAAAGAGGATAGTGTGCCTTCATTATGCATGCCAATTGGTACAGCACTACGGTGCTGGTGCGATGGTGGGCGTTAATCCACCTGTGGCTCAGCTACTGTAAGAGGACCCTCTGGGCTTCTAAAGAAGAGCACTTCTGCTCTGCTAAAGAAGACATATTGGTCTTCCAATGAAAAAGTCTTCTTTATCATCTACAGAAGAAGGTCTCTTGCTCTTCGAGGAAGAAACCCCTTGGCCATTCATAAAAAATACAGTTTCGCTCGCCTTCTGTATAAAAATACGTCTTGGTATTCCAAAGGAGATCTCTTGTTTATGAAGTAGACATTCGGGTCTTATATGGAAGAATATCTCCTTACATTCTGTGAAGAATACCTTCTGGGCATATATGGAAGATCTCTGGGATTCTATGAAGAATATATCTTGAGATTCGGTGAAGAAGACTTTTTGGTCTTAGTGTTCTACTGAAGAAACCGCCTTGACATTCTAATAGGAGACAACCTAATGGTTTTTAAAAGGCCTTCTATAAAAGAAGGCCTCTTGGTTTTCTAAAATCCTCCTCAAAAAGATCTCTGAGGATTCTGTGAAGACCTCGTGGTCTTCTAAAGGAAACATTTTGATCTTCCATAAAATAAGACTTATTATTGGTCCATATGTTCAAGAAAATCTCGCAGGATTCTATGAAGAAGGCCTCTTCGTTTTTTTAAAGAAGACATCTTTATTTTCATAGAAGAAAACCTTTTAATCTTCCAGAAAAAATCCTCTTGGTCCTTCAAAGAAGACCTCTTGGATTTGTATAAATAATTCCTCTTCAAGATCTCTGGGAATTATATGAAGAAGACCTCCTGATCTTATAAGGACGATAACCACTTGTTCTTCTATGGAGAACATCTCTGGGGATTCAATGAAGAATTAGAATCAAGTCCGCCCTAGCGGTCGATTCTAATTTAGACCATTCGCAATATATGCCGTTGAGTCCCGCTGGTGTGATTTTCGGAATCCATGTTGATGGGATGCTAATTGAAGGGGCGCAGTCATGAATGTTAACAATAGCGCTTCGAAAAACCTTGGCTATTGGTGGACATTGGGAGATAGGACGATATGATTCTCCTGAATTATATTTTCTGGTTTTGGAAGTGGGATAACTCTGGCAACTTTTCAAATTTCTAGTATTACCATCAAGGTATCTCAGGACTTTTGGACGAAGGTGTTTTAATATTAGCATGGAGATGCCATCTGAACAATCTACTTATGACATTATGCCTTGGAGATTGATGCTTCAATTTGGCTTAGTGTCATGGAGCACGGGCAGAACTTGTATGCACATTTTTTGGTATCGGAATATTAGTCGTTATTAAAGCTTATGGCAATTTTTGAGGCCCAAGGGTCGTTGCTCTTGGCGATATATAAGAAATCGAAGATCGTTCGATGTGATTCCCCTGAATCAGCCAGTTGTTCTGGTTTTGGAAGTGGGATAATTCGGGAAACTTTCCAAATTTCTGGTATTACCACCAGGTTAACCAAAAGATTTAGAAGTTGCGCAGGATATCTCAGGGCTATGAGACCGAGGTTTTTTAACATTAGCATAGATATACCATCTGGACCATGGACTTTTGATTTTGCCTTGGAAATTGTATCTTCAATTTCGGTTAGTGTGAAGGAGCATGAATTCGACTCGCGTTGGAGTTTCCAGACTTTCCTTAAGGTGGCTCTTCTGGTCTTGTTCTATATCTATGGCGGGTGGACATGAGTTGCGGCAGAACTTATTTGTAAATTTTTTGGCATCGGAATATTGGGCGTTTTTACACTGGTTTTTGAGTCTCAAGTGTCGTTGCTTCTTACGATGTAAGAGAAATCTGTCTGTTCGATTCAAACATATTGACATTCTTGTCAGCCTACTTACTTAGCTGGCTTGTGATAGAACGGCTGTTTCATAAGCCGAGCTTAGAAAAGATTTCCAAGGGCATTGGCCTTGTGCGCATCTCATCGAATTTGAAAGGCCCTGTTCCAAGATGTTGTCTTCTACTTGATATTTCCATTGGATTCGTGGTCTTTCCCTTCTGCGTGAAGCATCACTTGGCTCCCTTTCATATGCCTTCTGAGTGCGGGTATACTCATCCATTCTCACAACATAGCATAGCATAGTCGCTGCAGCTCGATCCGTCTGATTATGTCGATGTCCGAGAATAGTTGGTATAGCTCATGGTTCATTCGACGGCGATATTCACCGTCGACACAGATCGGCCCATATATCTTACGGAAAATTTTTGTCGTAAACACTCCAATAGCTTGCACAAGTACCCATTGAGAAACACATGCCTATTGTCTGATGATCTATTTGATCCTGATCTTTGAAAGAAAATCATAAAAACCATATTGACGATGACGACATTCTATTTGAAATCGTTTTTTTTTTTTTTTGTTTGTTCAAAATAAAATTGATATGAAATGAACTGCAAATATTATTTTCTTTATAAATAAATAAAATAAAACATACAAAAAAGAGGAGAAAGGAAGATGGAATAACAAAATGTATGTGTGTGTGAGGGTGTAATAATTGCGAGAAGACGACAATGGTTAACAATTTATTTATTTTATTTTTTTTTTGTATTCTTTTATTACTAACGTGTCGACACACAAGTACTGAAATAGGGCGGGGAGGATAAGCGTTGAGTCCTTATTTGTTTCTCCCACGAAGTATATATATCGAAATATGCTATTTCAAAACGCGAACAATTATATGTGTGATAGTGGGTGTGGTGGATAGCGGAGAATTTTGATTTTTATTTTCCTTTTTATTAGCAGAAGAGAGAGAGATGATGAATAATGCTGTATGTTGGTTGTGAGTGCTGTTGTGGTGGTGCTGCTGCTGATGTTGCATCTCAAATTTTAATGCGGGTAATAGCAACATTTTGTCTGCTGTCTGTCCATCCATTCATCCATCTACCACATATGGGTCTCACGAATTTCACTAATAATATGATTAGCATTTGTTAAAGCCTTTCGAAAAAAATAAAAAAATATTATGGGGGTTAATAATAATGATTGTTCTTCATATAATTTTTCGTAAAGGGGTACACACCTTCAACATATCGGCAGCTTCTCGTCTACGTATCGCAATGTGATCCGATTCATTTAACAATGTGTCGACGGCATCCGATTTATATAAATGTGTTACCAATTCACTTTGTAAATTATCCTTAACATAATTAACTAGAAAATGCATAACGGCCTTTGGTACTGAATCCTGGATAGATTTGCGTACAATATAGAAATAGGATTTGATTAGACGTTCTGAAAGGATGAGCAAGGAAAAAAAGATCAGTATAAGAATATAATTACAATCAGTTGCCTTTTCGTGTGGACCTACCAATAACATCACAATCCTTTTGTTCCTTATCGGTTAAACGCCTGGAGCCCTGATTGGCAGGCACATCGGGTAATAGATTTACTGGTTTTACCGGACTCATCAGAGAATTGTGTAGCGGAGTATTGTGATTGGAGTTTTCCATGCTTTGGGTGGCATTGGGTGCTGGTGGCAAAATATTCGATAACCAGTTATTTTCACCAATGTGGTTCTAAACGGGAAAAGAACAAACGCATTTAAAATAACATAGAATTTTAAAACTATGAATTTCTACTCACCTGTTCTCCAACATCATTATGATGTTGATCTTGCTCCTGTTGTTGCTTTTGCTGTTGTTGCTGCTGTTGTTTTTGCAAATTTTGCACAGCCATTACCTGTGGCGATGAATTTGTTGTCCTTGGTGTATTTGAACGTCGCGCCAACTGTTGTTGCTGCTGCCCATATGGATCCATAATATTATCAGTTTTCAATAGACTTGGCACCAAGGCAGCATCCTTATGAAAATCAGGATGTTTTGTGTTGATATAGGCCAATTCAATGGCCACTAGATTTTCCACCATAACATTTGTGGCCGGTAGACGGCGGCGCAATAGCTGTGTTACTACATCAACGATTTTCTCATGTAGTTTGGGGAATCTGTAAAAAACAGTAGATAAGAAAAACAAATTTTAAAAAGCTTTTAGGGGTGATCTTTCGAAGATCCTCAAGAAAATCTTTTAAAGGACTTTTGGTACTAATAATACCTCTCAGTGGATTTCAATAATTAGATTACTTGGAGATGTATCGTCCATACACAGAAGATCCATTTGAGATTTTTCTTACACAAAAAAAGCTTCCAAAGACATTTTTGTTCATAGAAAGTGTTCCCAGAATGATAAAGAGAATATCTTTCAAAGAGCTTCGGCACATTGAAAAGCTTTTAAAAGTCATTTTTTTATAGGTCATATATTAATATAAGAGCTTTAAGAGGTATTTTCCCTACTTAGAATATCTCTCTAATTTGTTTTTATACAAAAACAAGCTTTCAGATGTATTTTTGTACATATAAAGAAATCTCAAAAATAATATCGAATATACTTCCAGGGATTTCTTCATAGATTTCTTCTTAAGAGTTTTTTATACATATAAGCTCAGTTGATATAAAAGCTTTCAGAAGCTTTATCTTCTTTAGATGAAAGATATTTCATAAAGAATCTTCCACAGGTCTACCACAATTTATTTTTTATTTCTGTAGAAAAAATTTGAAAAATCCTCCATGAATTAAAAAGCTTTCAAAGTAGTCTTTAGCTTTCAAAGTATCTTTCTGTGGATAGAAAACTCATTCAAATAAAAGAATAAAAGAGCTTTCAATAAGGTCTTCTGTATATAGAAGATATTTTAGAAACATTCAAAAATCCCCCCAGGAATAAAATAGCTTTCAATGAGTTCTATATATAGAAGATCTTTTAGAAGCTCTTTACAGATAGAAGCTTTCATTGGTGAAAAAAGCTCTTACAGGTACACCATAAATACCATTAACTTTATACAAAGCTTAACTTTATACGTTCTACCAAGTTTTACGTTAGTAGTTCTTTGAAAGGTTTAAAAGACCTTCCACTGGTCCTTCATAAATTGAAAATATTCAATTGATTTCTTATACAGAAATAAGAAAATGAACCTTGTTTAAATTTGTTAGATGTCTTCCATTGTAAAAAGTTGTTGATAAATATGAAAGTTTTTTGCACATCGAAAATCTATAATATTTTTTTATGAATTAAAAGTCATTGAGATATATTTTGTCCAAAAGAAAGCTTTTACATATTTAAATTATTACCACCAAAAGAAATCCTGCCCAAATTTATTAAGATCCTAAAGTACATTCTGTAAATAAAATAGTTGTCAAAACTTGTCTTCTGAATATCTAAAAACTTTCAGTCTTCTTCTGCAGGTTTAAAAAGTTCTGTAGATCATTTGTAGATAGGAGAACGCCCTCAAAAGTCTACATACATATTTAGCTTAGAAGTGCGTTCCGGTTTTGTTCGCCAATATAAAAGCTTTCCGAGTTAGGTGGATTGAAATCTTTACAGATATTTTTTTTTTTACTTACAGTGAGTGTAATAAGTATTTTGCCTCAATAAAAATTTTACAAAATTCTAATATATACGCTTAAAGCCAGCATACAAAAGATGTTATATGAATTATGTATGATGGGATATGTTTGTGGACATATTTAGATCTTATTTCTGCAAGAATCACTGCGAAAGACCTATTGGTCTCGAAGATATCGGCCAAAATCTATACCATCCCAAAAATGATTATCACAAAAAAGTATTTTGCTTTTTATTATCATTTTTGAAAAAATCATTATATATCACACGCTTTGTCTTTTTATAGTTACCATTGCGGGTAACCACATACTAAAAGCGATTTGGCGACGATTCCAATAAACCACTGCATTTTTTTCGCGAATATTTTCTCACATTTACGTTCAATACATTCTCCAGCAATTTTTTATTTAATATATGGTAATTTCTCGTCCTAATCTCAAAATGAGAGTATTAGATATGGTCGTCGCGGCTTCAAAACATCCCAAATAACTTTAGAATAATAAAAAGGAGGTTTTGCAAAATATATCGCGAGGACAGGGCCCTAAAAACTATTAAAACCAAAATCCGACAAACAAATTATTAAAAAAAATATCGCGAAATCCCATTTTTCAGACTTTGAAAACTTTATGGTCCATTAATATTGATCTAGGAACCAATATATGCCATGAAAATAGCAATAAGAAGGTCAGATTCAATGAAATGAACAGTTCTAAAACAACAGAAACTACAAGCATTACATGAAGTTGGGAGAAAACATCATTCTTCGTCAAATAGTATTGCGTTTTAAAAAACTGTGGTAGCTGGTGACGAATACGCAGTCAATATTTTACATCCATTTAACACAATCAGTTGCGAATAAAATGCATCAGTGAATAAACTGGTCGATCTATTTATTTTCGAAATTTGCTGTATTTCTATTGCCACAAAACCGTTCATATCTTAGAATCTGACCTTCTTATTGCTATTTTCATCGCATATATTGGTTCCTAGATCAATATTAATGGACCATAAAGTTTTCAAAGTCTGAAAAATGGGATTTCGCGATATTTTTTTTAATAATTTGTTTGTCGGATTTTGGTTTTAATAGTTTTTAGGGCCCTGTCCTCGCGATATATTTTGCAAAACCTCCTTTTTATTATTCTAAAGTTATTTGGGATGTTTTGAAGCCGCGACGACCATATCTAATACTCTCATTTTGAGATTAGGACGAGAAATTACCATATATTAAATAAAAAATTGCTGGAGAATGTATTGAACGTAAATGTGAGAAAATATTCGCGAAAAAAATGCAGTGGTTTATTGGAATCGTCGCCAAATCGCTTTTAGTATGTGGTTACCCGCAATGGTAACTATAAAAAGACAAAGCGTGTGATATATAATGATTTTTCCAAAAATGATAATAAAAAGCAAAATACTTTTTTGTGATAATCATTTTTGGGATGGTATAGATTTTGGCCGATATCTTCGAGACCAATAGGTCTTTCGCAGTAATTCTTGCAGAAATAAGATCTAAATATGTCCACAAACATATCCCATCATACATAATTCATTTTACATCTTTAGTATGCTGGCTTTAAGCGTATATATTAGAAATTTGTCAAATTTGCATTGAGGCAAAATACTTATTACACTCACTGTATATATAAAAGAGCTTTCATAAAACTTCAGATATACAAGCTTTCAGAAGAACCATTTATGTGGGAGCGATTTTCTTTTGTCGTATGGGAATTAAACGATTTTAAAGATCCTCTATGGGTTGAAAAACATATAATGGCGATATGTGAATAGGAAAAAACTATGGATGTCTAGATGATTTTAAAGAGAGATTTTTTTCAGAATTGTAACAATTTTCCTTTGGAGATGGTCCTTTAGAAATATTCTCTAGATGAAAGACCTTAGTCCGTTTCAGGGTTATTTTGTAGACAACCCTGAGAGACCTTAGTCCGTTTCAGGGTTATTTTGTAGACATAAAATCATGCAGAATTTTATAAATCAAGGAGCTTTGGAAAGACTTCAATTGAAAAGCTTTTATAGGACTTTAGACAAAAATCTTTCCGGGTTACCTATTAAATCTGAGATCGTTCATTGATCTTATTATTATGGAGAATCTTCATAGACCTTCTGTGCATTGAAGACTTTATAGTGGTTGTATATGAATTGGAGGATGCCATCTAGAGGGCTTCTAGATAATTCTAGTTAGAACATTTTCCAGAGGCCTTCTTAGGGTAAATAGCTGACTCTACCTCCAAAAATGTTTTATACAGACTAGACATACATAATACAACATCTTCCACCGACCTATGGAAATTGAATACACTCCTTAATATTTCTCTGATAGAAGTATTTTCCCTTCGATTCTTATTTAGAGTCAGTTTTTAGGATTTCATAAATAAAAAATCCACACATAATAACTATTTTTAACTGGAACGCCAGTAACAATACGTTGAATACTTTTATATCATTCACAGATTTATGAGATACTAGACTCTTTATGGAGATTCTTTATAGAAAACTCTTCATAGGATTACCGTCGTGGAAAGGCTATAGAGAGGTTCAGAGAAACACCCTGTTCATATCATGGTATAAGTAAATAAAACTTTTCTTACCTCAACATTTCCTGTTGCACTTCATTGCCACAATGCTGGACAATTCGTTGCATTTCTTCGTGTATCAATTCGACACAACGCAACGATGGCTCCTCCAATCGACGAATTTGACGTTTGACTAGCAATTCAAATGATACTTCGGGTACAAACAACGCTGGTCTCGGACCAGTTGCATTTCGTATAGCCGTTAAAATATCCATTTTAGTTAGACCAGCTAAGGGATGAATGGAATCAAGTGTGCGTCCAAAAGTCTCATGGAAAATATAACAAATTCGTGCACCACCACACAATTCTGTCGTTTCAATGTTGCGTGCTGTACCATCAATGGTCGAACAATAGGCACTGGCAAATTTCGTAATAATTTGCAGCAGAGTTTGACTTTTATCCTTCACATCTTCACCATATGAATTCAGCAACGATTGGAATTGTGAAGACATAACATTGACACGGGTTTTCAAATCCGGCAAACAGTCTCGTATGTGATGCATTAGTAAACGATTGAGGGTCTTTGCCAAATACGGTGTACCATTACGCGTGGCCAATGTTGGATATTTACGCTGCAGAAATGCCGCCTCATCTTTGAGTTGTTCCTCAATGTCTTTGTTGTCTTTTATGTCCTGCTGTGAACGATTGATAACACCGATAATACCCAATTTGACGGGTATAACGCGACCACACAGTATATCAATGGCATCTGTGCCAGCATCCATAAGATCTAATTTTGTGACTACAGCCAATGTACGTCGTCCATCGGGATCAACATCTTTGGCTAATTTTAAAGCTTCACTGGTGGCCATATCTGTGTTGGCTGCCGTCACAGCCAGTATTATGGAATTGGGATTTTCAATATATTTCAGGAGTAAATCTTTAATTTGTTGTTCAATATCTTCGGGTTGATCGCCGACGGGGACTTTTGTAATGCCGGGTAAATCCACTAAGGTTAGATTTACCACTCGCGTGGAGAAAATTTTCAAATTTATTGGTTCGGGACAAATGCCTTTGTTAGAGCCAGCTACACGTTCGGTTTCTTCTTCAATTTCTTGACGAATTTGATTGAAATCAGTAAATATCTTTTTGGTGTGTAAAAATTTGCCCCATTCTTCACAGTTGAGTGTGCCTAGGGGAGGGGGAAAAAGGAGATTTGATTAACTGATTCTTTATAATATTATATATCTATTTTTTTGCTTACCATTTTCAGCAGATCGATGATTACGATCCGCCAATGGACAATGTATTAATTGTAGAACCAAAGGCCTTCTTGTCACAATGCCAGTACCTCGTGGTAGAAATGACCGCCCAACAAGACTTTCTAGTACTGAACTTTTACCAGAACTCTGGAAAGAGAGAAGGAGGGAAATGGGAATAAGTTTATATAAATTCTGCATTTTGACAAAAAAAAAAAAATAGTTTACAAAAGATTTTTAGATGTACTTTTGTCCAATTAAAGGTATTCTGTTTACAGAAGCCCTGTAAAATATAGCTACGTATAAAAGTGTTTGAAAATGATTTTGTATATAAAAGACCTGTAAATGGTATTGTTTGTTTAGCAATCGTCCAATCCAATCAACTTAAAACCGAACAGATTTTCAAAAATTTCTGCATTTAAAATTATTGTTAAAAGCCTGTTTTTTATGATACATTCTTCACATTTTAACTGCAATGAGTTCTCCATTTTCGAAATAGTGATCAACGTTGGGCTATGTAGTGATATATGATTACTCTTCATATGGAGAATACTAGTTTGTTTTGACTACTTTATAGAATTTCCATGCATAAAATAAATAGAAATTCAAGAAAAAAATAAATTTTTAAATCTAATCCCGAATTCCAAAATGTCTAATTTTTGTTCTTTAGATATTAAATTGGTTAACGTAATTATGATATTCATTAATTGTGTTTACCTTCCTTCCCTGTGTCTGTTATGTTTTTTTTTTTTGCTTCACCCACCTGTTAGCCATGTTAATTATTTTTCTTTTTTATTTATTCGTTTTTATCATTCCCAAAAAGCACATTAGAAATTGTGTCAATGCTTGGCGCATTTTTTATGTCGTCACCGGCTTTTATTTTCGGGCGATAACAACAACAACAGTCGTCGTATATTGTCATCGATCTGAAAAATGCTTGTCGTTTTTTTTTCTGATATAAACCACTAATCCACATCAACAATGAGTTCTAGATTTGCTGTGCACAACAATTGTTATATTTGTAGCTAAGGGTATGCGCGCGAGGTAATAATAAAAATTGATTGATTCATTTAGCGCAATAGATAAAAAAAATTATTGATTTCAAAAAAAAAAAAAAAAAAAAAAACGTGTTTGAAAGGAATATAAATTTAAATTTTTTTTTGATAGGAATCCTTTTTATATATCTTTGCCATTTAGTGACATTATTTCTTAGTATTTATTAACAATGAAATAAAATTAATATTTGTCAATTTTAACATGCTGAGTGTATTGTGTCAACGATTTGTGGTTAACAACGCTGACGATTATGAAGAGAACAATCTTGAATATTAAAATATGAATAAATAAAATAAATATAACCACATTTCCATATTGTCATAATATATTATTTTTAAATCATTATTATTATTATTATGAAAAACAGTAAGAAAATTCTTGTTTTCTTTTATATTTTCTAGCCCCCCTTTTCCCATCTTCGCAGACAAATTTTGAATAGCAAAAGGTCGTTCTATAGCAAAAAAAGGCAGAGTTTTATTGCCAATTGATTCAGAATCTTCCATAGTAGTTATTATTACATTTCAACGTGTCATCTGATATGGACACTTCCGCAAAAAGGTAAACCAAAGTCGAAGAATTTGTTTCGTTAATTGTGCTTACATACATAAAGGCAAAAAATACAAAGAAATACCGCGTTTGTCATTTTTTCTTCTTGTTCTTAGCATAAATACTAATTTAATGACTATAAATGCCCAGATTATTCATGTAAAGTATATTCATGTGAATAATAATATAAAAAGTTCAAAATATTCAAACAATTCGCAGAGTTTTCCCATTATTAGCAGTGATGTCTAAAGACATGTATATTTGAAGTCGCGTGAGTGAACGCTCTTTTGTGGCTTTTATCTCAAAAGTTAAAAACTGGATGCTCTTAATTTTTTATACCACTGATAGTACTCCTGCTGAAGTGCCCATATCGACGCCTCCAAACCATAGTATGCTATGTCTGAAAGGTAAGTTTTTCAGTAGAAGCTCTCAAAGAATGGAAGCATACTATGGTTCGGAGGCGTCGATATATTAAAGTTAAATTACAAAATTGCAACAAAATTAAGCATTAGTCAAGCAATTGTTGTATATTATATTATTATATTATTTATGGCTGGGGAGCCAACGTAATGTAGAATTGTATATAAAAAATTGTTTATAAGAATATTGTGTAAATTACTGATTAATTTATCTTATCACTGTTAATTCAGGTTTTTTGTTGTACGAAGATGCATTTAAGTGGCCTATGTGGCTTTTGTATCATATATGAATTTTTGAAATAAATAAATAAATCGCAAGGTGTAATATAAACAGTATGATTAAAATTATGTAAATAAACTATAAACTTGTATTAACAATGCAACATAAAATATTTAAATACAATTAGAATATCTGGCTTTGAAGGAAGTATTCCCTTTTTGCGGAATATAGTATGCAGAACATCCCATACCATACACGGTAAAGGGGATCTGACCAAATACATAGAACGACCAAGGGTCAAATTAACCAAAAACTAAAGTGACAAAATTTGCATTTTATGGCGTAAATATTCACCAGGGGAAAATAAAATTTGGAAAATATTCCAGGGTTAAATGTGGAGCTGTTGACCAACAAATCGTCAAGAGGGTGCAAATATCGCTAAATATTGCCCGGGCTCAAAATATAGAACCGCAGAACCGCAACTAAAGTCTTGACAAATGTCTCGTGTAGGTGGATCAGCCATAAATGTGTGATGGTGGAAACACAACATACAGCATGCCAGCAGGAACTGTCTGGTTTCTCAGGGAGATTGGAATTCGAAGTGCATTATTTGGAGATTATTGCAAGGATCCACTGTGTGTCGCAAAGGAATGAAATTTAGACTGAGACTGTATAATAATGATAGAAATACCGATAAACTTATATGTAGTTTAAGATAGAGCTTTTATAATTTTATGTACGGTGGGTATACGCCTAGCATCAACAGAAATGTCAAGTCATAAATTGACTTCTCACGTCCTGGAAGTAAAAAGTGGCATGATTGAATTTGCGGTGGATAAAGAATATACTACTCCCGGAAGATATTAGTGATGATGGATAGTGACAAATTTGGTCTAGATGCATTTTAGATGTTCTTTTCCCACACTGGGGCCAAACCCTCTTCTCACTAGCATTCAAATTTAAATTTAACTCCTTCAAAAACACAGTATTGGAAAACGTAAAAATAAATATTGTGTGATAAATTTAAATTTATTTTCAAGGACATGCCGGTTTGGTGGACAACGGGCCTTGTGTGTCTACGAAGATACACGAGGAAATTAGGGGAGACTGGGGCACCTTCGGCAATCGGGTTTTCGATATGAAGCTCTCACCGGACATCACTAGTTTCCATACATATGTATCGAATATCGAAATAAATAACTGACACAAAGTTTGAAATTTCTAGCTAATAAGCTTATTTAGATATATGGGTTTTTGTATTTTTATAGATGTTTCTGTAATATTTCAATTCCATTTAAGTAAGTATTTCGTCTATAAAACTTTTTAAATTTTTAAGACAATATTATTAAAAAGTGGTTAACTACGATGTGTATTATTATAGAAATATTTAAAAATATAATGTTTTTACAAAACTGATCGAAAAAATGAAAAAAAAAACTATAAAAAGTTCGTTCGGGGTACGTTCGGCATTTTAAAGTGGGGCACATTCGGCCATATACAGATTGTGCAATATTATTTCCTTAAAATGTTTTTGAGTTTGTCTTTAAAACTAATCCTTTAATATGGCTCGAAATTGTATATATAAGATCAAACGTGCTTGTATTGACGTGTGCGAACTTGAGATGTAAACGTCCGCCGCTTGAAAATAAAGTCCTATAATTCAAACATTGTGTGGCGTATTAAAGCCAAATAGAGCCTTTTGAGGATCAGAATTTCAACCAGACTGATAGCGATGACAATTACCCGGCTATGACTATGGTGCCGAATGTGTCCCATCAAATGCCGAAGCTACCCCTGGTTGGGGCACATTCGGCGAATTTGACTTTTTTTACAAAACTGTAAAATTTTTTAAGTAATACTATTTTTTTATATCTTTTTGATACAATTTTTATAATTAAGTGTCCGAGGACAATAATCAGCCATAAAGTTGTTATATATGTTGAATAAGTACTGAGATATAGAGCTCTAAAAAAAAGTGCCAAAGGTGCCCCAGTCTCCCCTATATAACAAAGCAAATAACTTCGTACATATTGGGACACTTATAGAGATTTTTTTCAAGCAGAGTCGAGCAGAGTCTTGGGTACGGATGAACAGTTGCTGCATCAGAATTCCACCTCAGTCCATGACAAATGAAGTTATCATAGAATACCTTAAGGCTATCTAAAACTAGTATGGGAGGGAGAGAGATTTTCAGGGCCTGTCTGAAGTTATCATTCATACCAAGTCTGTGGAGAGAAGTAAAGGTGAGCTTCATTCCCAAGGCAGGAAAACATAGAAACACTTTAGCCTTTCTTCCAATGGAAAGGTTATTAGATCTTGAGATCAGGAAATCACTGGACTTGAATATAATCAGAAAATCACAGCACGCCTTCATTAAAGGCAAGTATATAGACACTGCTATGCATGAAGTAGCTGGACACAGTAGTATATATCCACATAGCTCTCATTAAAACAGGAAAATCCCCACCCTGCTGGATTGAAATGATGCTGAAAATCAGGATAATCAATGCAGTAGAGATAATGCTATAGGAGGTTTGTCAACGTAAAAACATAAGCATTGTGCAAAGATCGGCAGCAATGTGGAGCTCCGAAAAGCACTCCTCAGACTGGTCTGAATACATTTTCAGTCACTTGATTTATTAACTCGTTTTCATGCAACCCGAAGCGCATTTGGGATGAAGAATATATTTCGACATTTGGACATATGGATGTAAACTCATATAGATATTTTTTGGGAGTAGTACATGTACTGTTGTTTATGATATAATTAAGTGATATACTGTTAATTTTAAGCTTTTGGCACTTTGGGCTAGGTTCTCGTTTATGAAATAAATGGAAAATATTCTCATAGCCGGCTAAATATACTATCCTCATCCCAAAATAAAGGTATACGAAAATCTGCAATAAGTCATATACCTCATGAATTTGTTTCCTAGAACAGATGACAACAAAACGAACAAGAATATAAAAAAAAACTTACTATTAGATGAAGAAAACAACCAAAATACCGGCACTAGACAGGTCAAAGTATTCCCCCAAAAAAAGAATTACACACACAAGTGGTACAATTAAAATAGAAACATATGTAAATAAAAGAAATCAGCGCGCATCGAAATAATACTAGGTTGATTACACTTTGACCATATCGCATATACCCTGCTGGCTGCTCCACACACACACGAATGCATTCTTAAGGTACAATAGCACAATAAAAAGAAATGTATACATTTGAGTTTTTTCGGCTTTTGCCAGAAGCGGTAGTGACAGCAGCTAGGCAGGCGAATTATTGATTTTCTCCGTATGTTTTTTCTTTGGTATGGCCTGGTCGAAAAAAATAACAAACGCAAACAAAACAACAATATTGTCATCAATGGATTACATAAACATCTTCCAATAAGAAAGAGGCCCCCTCCAACAACTCGGTTAGGTGTTAATGTAAACTTAATAACCAATGGAATTCAGTGTTGTTTGTAAGGGAATTTGAAGGAAAAACATGTGCCGGTTTCCATTTTCATAGCAAGAAATTATATAATTTCTTAAGTGCATTTTCTACAACACGCTACCCTAAAATAATATTCATATTTTTTGTAGATTTGAGTGAAAAAATCTTGATGACATATCTACTAGTGGTAACACGAACACACAGCTAGAATATTTGTTGTAGCTTGTTTTTTCTTGCTTGCATTGACGACGGACAAATGACTGTGCTTACCTGACTGCCCAAGACCACAATTTGTGGCAGTTGTATTGAATCCGAGCCCACTGTATTGAATACATCTTGCAGCTTATTGATCACCGGTATGAGTGCCTCCATTTTTCTGCGTTAAAGGAATATTTCAATTTAATATTTGGTCACACAACACACGAAATGTTTCATTAATAATACAAAAATTTGCACACAAATATGGGGAGTTATGAATTTCTTTTCAATTTTTGCACACTAAACCTTGTATTCTTCTTCTACCCTCCCGTCGCAATTCCGCCCTTTTCTTTTTGTAATGAGGCGTTAGATAAATATGGGGGTCGTCGCCGTCTTCGTTGTGGTCGCAAACACTCACTTTTAGTGAATTAAATTTAATGCGAGATTATTTTTTATTAAATCTTTAATATACGACACGTTTAGCTTTGCCCCCAAGCTACTTTTTTAATTCTTTTCTGCACAAATTTTTATGCAATTCTTTCTTAAAATTTGCAATTAATCACCCGCAGAAAAAAGTATTTTCGCTGTTAATCAAAGAACCGTGCCGCACTGAAATTAAAAACGCAACGGCGTCATTAAGAATGTCAAATGCGAACACATCAACTGTGGTGACGCCGTTATAGCTGTCTATACACTACACTGCTGAATGGTGTGGTTTACACAAGGCAATGGTTGAATGTAGTAGGGATATTATTTAAAATTTGTCCCATTCCGTTTGCAACGCCTCGAAAGACTCGTCCCCGACCGAATAAATAGATCGTGTAAGAAGCAAATATTATCAATTTGGTAGAAAATCCCCCAAACCAACTTTTTTTGTTTACGTTTTCACAAGATTGACTCAAAACTGAAAGCATTTTAACAGATCGGGTGAAATCATTTCGCTTATTATTTTTTATCAGAATGAAATTCTACACCGACTTAGTCATGTATGACGAAAACAACGATAGAGATCCCATTATTCAAGATTGAGCTTTGAAATTTTGAAAATACATTGTGACTACTCTTTGGGTGTTTGGAATTGAAAATGGTATATAGCGGTCCACGTTTTGGTATAGCCCCCGTTTAACGGTACATCCCCATATATCGGTGTTATGGAGATTTTTGGCCTGTTTTCCACTAGAATTGGCTATAATTTGCTACGATTGGTTCTCATTGGGTATAAAATCTTCCGATGATCTTTTTTTGATTCTTTTTTTTTGTGATCCCTATATAACGGTACCTCCGATTTTCGGTAAATTAGAGTTTTAGACACTTTTTCAACAGAATCATCTGTGAATTTGTATTTTGGATTCACTTCGGCTATCAGATGTGTCATTTATATATATTGACCGATGTTTCGGGGTAGCCCCCATATAACGTTACCCCCCAATATTCGGTATTTTGATGGCTTTGAACACACGTTTCTACTTAATTGGTTGTAATTGGTGATTTTGGGGTATGGTATGATAGTAGGTCTTCCTACTAAAATTTATCAATATTGGTCCAGCTTTTAGGGAACGCTACATACCAAAGATCGGTATTTTGGACAGCTTGGGCAAGGGTTTCAACAAAATTAGGGGTTTTGGGCTTGTTTTTTCACAAAATTCGTTCTAATTAGATTTTTCAAATTCGTATGGGGTATCAAATCTTCCTACCAGATATTATTAATGTCAGTTTATGTTTGGATATAAGTTCAATGGAACGGTACCATCCCATTCTCGATAGTTTTAAGACTTTAGTCACATTTTCCCAATTTTGTATAACGGGTTCTGAAAGGCTAACTTGAGTAGTATAAAAGTTCCGCTTCCTAAAACATAATTTTGGGTTTTTATTTAATCCGAAACTACTCCTTCAAATCGTGTAGTTCCTGTTTGATAGGAAAGCGAACGCTTTAGATGTACCACCTCTATCTTCGACCTGAGATTGTGCCTCCTTCAGCAATAGTACCAGTTGCCTTCTAATCATTTTTAGACTTTACCGAAGAGGTTTTCCCTGTCATTATTATTATTCACTTTGTCATTTGGGTTGCACCGAATATAAAATCTCCAGATATTTTCAATTCATTTCCGTAAAGAACTTTAGCTTGGGTCTGGCATGACCGATCTATATGCCAGTAGTAATTTTGGAATATACAAAATCCCCGTTTTTTGCCACTTTCCGTAGATTTTCTTCCAGGGTGCAATTAAATGGATCCAACATGACATCTGATTGTAGATGTAGAGGCGTTGTTTTGGTTTTCTTGATTCCGTCAAAGTCACACATTTCCTTTTGAATCGCTAACGCAAAATTTCTACCTAGATCGGACGGAATACTATGGCGACAAATTCTATTATGTCCACCTTCACAATTATTCTGGATTTTTGATTTCGAATGACATAAAAAATATGGCCTTTTCTGAAATAATCCATGATTACGAAGACATACCGGTTCTTGGACTCGCTTATTGTGAATGGACGAGCCATATTCATTAGTTCGTCGGTTCCCAATTAAATCAATACACCATGACATCTGATTTAGGGGCGCTACATTGATCGGAATGAACCTTGAACCATGATTGTGAAGACATACAGGTTCTTCGAGTCGCTTATTGGGAACGGAATAGCCGTGTTGGCCGTTTTTGACGTTGGTTCATTCGGCAATGGATTTTTGACATATGATGTCGTAGAATCTCTCCTTTAACTTTTCGCCGTTTTATTTATTTTAAGATGACTTCCAACTGGACTATCGTAAAACTATTCGAATACATCTTTCATTTTGGAGTCGGGCACGACATTCAGATTCCAATCTGTGCGCATCTCATCTAATTTGAAAGATTATGTTCGGCAATGTTGTCTTCCACTTGATCTTTTCATCGGATTCGTGGTCTTCCCCTTCTGTGTAAACCATCATTTGGTTCGATTTTATATGCCTTTTGAGCTAGGATATCTTCATCCATTCATCACAACATAACCAAGCCAACGTGGACTCTGCAGCTTGAAACGTCTGACTATGTCGATGTCCGAGAATAGATGGTAGAGCTCACGGTTCATTCGACGGTCATATTCAACGTCAACGTAGATCGGCCCATATATCTTCCGGGGATTTTTTTTCTCTCAAACACTCCAAGAGCTGCCTCATCTGCACTGGTAATATCAGGGTCTTGTAGAGCGTGAGTTTGGTCTGGCGAGAGGAGGTCTTGCTTTTGAGTTGCTTACTCAGACCATAGTAGCATTTGTTGGCCAGCACTATTCTTCTTCGGATTTTAAAGCTTATATTATAGTTTTGTTCATGGCGGTACCGAGGTATAAAGTTGGAATGTGTCGATGTTTTTCGTGGGTCTTTTCCAGGATTTGGCGCAGTATGAAAATCTGGTATATAGTGGATTTGCCAGGTCTGATGCCGCGTTGGTATGGTCCAATAATGTCTTTGACTCTTGGCTTTCGTCGTTCACACAACACGCTGGATAGCACTTTATATAGGATGGGAGGGAGACGAATTCCTCTATAGTTGGCACATATCGTCTTGTCTCCTTTTTTGTGCACGGGACACAATATGCTGAGGGTCCGATCATTTGGCATGCATTCTTCTAGCCAAATTGTACTAATAAGCTGGTGCATGCTCTTGATCAGAGTCTGACCACTGGTCTTGAATAGTTCGGCTGGTAATACATCGGCACCTGCCGCTTTACTGTTCTTCAGCCGAATAATTGCTACTCTGACCTCATCTTGTGGTATACCGCCATCTCTTATTGGATGTGGGGTATCTTCTTCACCGCCACTATTTGATACCAGAAGCTTTTCAAAATGATCCCTCCAGGCCCTCAACATGTTGTCTGTATTTGATACCAGAAGCTTTTCAAAATTATCCCTCCAGGTCCTCAACATGTTTGTATCTGTCACCAGGTTTCCATCTTCACCTCTACACGAAGATGTGCCTGCATCAAAGCCTTCGGTTTGGTGTTTTACTCGTTGGTAACAAGTCTGAACTTCATTCTGGCTGCTGTACATCTCGATTAGCTCACGCTCACGTTTTTCTTGTTCTTTCTTCTGTTAAATGGAAATCAGCTGAAAATGCAAAAAAATATTTATATATTAGGAACGTATGTAATTTCTAATCAGAGACTACAGTAAAAGAAAGAAATGATTAGAAATTGCTTTGAGTTTCATTTATAAAAATGAAAACAAATTCAGGCGAAAGCTAATTGTTTTTTATTAAATAATTTTTAACCGTTTGAGATTATTTTTTTTATTATTTCAAGACATGGGTTATCAGTTTATTGACATCAATTTAGAATGCATAAGTCCGACGCAAAAAAAAATATATATATATATACATATATATATATAAATATATATATATATATATATATACTCGTTGTACATTTTTTATATTTTGTGTAGAGTCAGCTAATTTAATAATTTATTGCTACAAAGCAAATTAGCATCGCTATAAAGAAAATTTCACAATTTAATAAGATCTTTTTATTGCAAAATTAAAATAAAGAAACAAAAAATTAAATATTTAAATACACGTGACAATTTTTTCTGTGTGTGGACGTTCTCTCTAATAGTCTATGGGTTTTGCAAATGGGTGCAGTGTGTTAATAATTTAGCTTAATTTTGGGTCGTTGATCTTTCGAATGAACTCATAAAGATTTTAATGATGCAATTTGGAGGTGATGGAATTAAAAATATTAACGAAATATATTATAAGCAAAATATAACAATTATACGGTATAATTAAAATATATATTTTTAAAGTGATTATCTTGACTTATAATTTACATTCAAACATATTTTCAGAAGATAGACTTTGACGCTTGAAACTCTGACTCTTAAAGTTTCATTCAAATTGACATTTATTCAATAGAATTGACAATTGAAATGACGTGTTTTATTAAAACATGTTTGTTCTAAACATTGCTTTAATTATCATGACCATTATAATGAAATTGACAAGATTTATCATTTTATTTAATATTATGAAATATTAAAGGGAGGAATTGAAAATGTTTCAACTGAAATGATTAATTGCAATTCTGATAAAACGTAATTGTGAATTAAATTTACGTGAGTGATATGTTAATTATTTATCTGACATCTTATTTGTTATTTTATTTTTTAATTTGCTTCTATAGGTTAGGTTAAGTTATATTATCATATTTAGTTCTTAAGCAATACTTTTAATT